GAGAGAAAAGAAAGAAAAGAGAGAAGAGAGAGAAAAGAGAGAAAAGAAAGAAAAGAGAGAAGAGAGAGAAAAGAGAGAAAAGAAAGAAAAGAGAGAAGAGAGAGAAAAGAGAGATGAGAGAGAAAAGAGAGAAAAGACAGCGAGAGAGAGAGAGAGAGAAAGAGAGAGATAGAGAAGAGATGTCATCAGCATCATCATGCATCATCATCCATATGGCTCGCGTGGCGCAACACTGTCGTGACTCAGCATGCGAACTTCTTTCACTCCCATGTCCTTTCCCAGTGCTTCCTCGACCTAGTTTAACCTGGTCTTTACTGCCGGCCCGGTTTAGCCTGGCTGTTCGAAGATGATGCTTTATATGGCTACTTTTATAGCCAACATAGAGTTTGTCCAGGAATCTCGCATGTCATGTTGAAAAATGATGGTGCATAGATACTTGGATAAACAAGATTAAAAAGGCCATTAAATTGGTAAGACAGTAATCTGTAGGTAAAACTTATTTACGTTTCCTTTGTGGGCCGTAAATATTTCATATTATTAGCTTAGTTATATTTTTTCAGTTTATATCCTATTCGCTTTGGTTTCCGGGTTGTGCTTTTCGCCTGTGGTTTCGAAACTTGTATTTAAATAAAAGAAATACCGCCCATTCACTGGGAATGTGAAAGAATTTGGGGACCCAAAACCGGAGGCATTTGCAATCGAACCGTGGAACCTCCCCGGGAACGTCATGTCCTGTTTGCGGGGAAACTTGATGCATTGGTTACATGCCCTGGGTACACTTAATCATTTTCAACAATTCTTGGCGGCTAAGGCAGACAATCACCCTCAAATATGAGAAAAAACTGTGGATCGTAAATAAATAAGCCAGATTCATTGCTCAAAACTCTTGATAACAAATGAAGGAAACTGACACTGTCGTGAAGAAAATGGAATGATGGTGGGACCTAATTAATTAGTGGAAAACTTGCATTGAAAGAAAGTTCAAAGGTTATTTGCCCATAATCCTTTCATAATACAATGACAGCTCTGTCGTTGATGGGCTCACAACACTCACAACCCCTTAGTAAGCTCTTGTTAGGTGTTTGTCACTATGGGTAATTTTGATAGGATTCCACTATGGGGGGGGGCAGAAAATGAGCGTCAATAATCAATAAACGTAAGGGTTTTCGCAAGTCCCTCAAAATGGCCTCAACTCAGTTTATTCCTCAATTGGGACTTGACAGGCTCCACGAACCGCGCGCGCAAGCATGCAGGCTCCACAAACCGCGCGCGCAAATAAAGAATCTCAGAAGCAGGGACACCAGCAACCAGGCCCCAAAGCATACACCATAGACATCCTGCAGCAGCACCCTGCATTGGCATCAGCACCCACAATGCACCCTGCAGCGGTGTAGCAGCGCGTGGCGGCGCGTGGCTTCGCTTGGCTACGCGTGGCCCGTGGTGTGGGCCAGATTGCTGCAACGAGTGCGTGATGTATGACCTCGACTAATGCTTTGGAAGGGATCGCGACCGCCTTGTTGATCTACTTGCGTGACCAACAAGCTCGTATTCCCTCAGATCTGCCATGCACCAACCAGCAAGCGTATATATAATATAGAGAATACAACATTAACTAATTAACCAGAACAAAGACGTCAAAATCAACTTAAAATGGACTCAATGATAAAAAAATGCGATCAAATCCAATCGCCTCGATTTCTCAGAATTCACTTGTCTAAAAGCGCCTGGGCTGAGCACGGGCTCTGCGCAAACGTCTCCATCTTAGATCATGAGGTCACCAAATGCAAAACAGAATATGATCTGGTGAAAGTACCTGCCTAAAATTTCCTAGAAAATCTGGACCGTGAAACGGCCGAGAAAAACCGTGAAAAGCCACCAAACACACGCCTGAAATTTACTCATTTTTTGGAGTATGTTGTAATCTTTTCACGGGTTTTTCATTGATATCTTTGGAACCATTGGTCATTTCAAGCAGTCTTGGCACTTACAGACTTGAAATTAGTTGATGAGCAGCTGTTGTTACTGAGGCTGTAAAGTGTATGTGGGGCTTGGCGAGTTTCCCCTTATATATATGTCAACATATATCCCAAGATTCCCAAGATCAAATAAACCAACAATGTGAAGTAATCTATAATATATGCGTCGTTTTTGGTTGACAGTAGTACGGCCCGGCACTGCATTGAATCCAGACTAGATGCCCATGGATCTTGCCAATCCAGTCTGGCAGAGGGAACCCTTCCATGGCCCGAGAGTCGACGAGTCGGAGCAAGTTGCTAATGAAGTTGATTGTTGGTGCGTGTTTGTTTTTCGGAATTGCTTTACAACAAAGTACATCAATTGGCTCTACGTGATTCTTTGCAGCGAGGTCGAGGTGCTCCAAATCAAAACATGGTATCCTTTCCGCACATGTTGAAGAGATGAGTATGTCTCAAACCAATTTCAAAAACATACTGCATCCTCGTCTCAGTGCCGTAGCCTAATGTGAAAGGAAACGGCCACGTCACGGCATGCACCTGTTTTACAACATATCAGACATGGAAAACATGTGAATGCCGGAAAGTTTCTGGAATTTTGTGGGGAAATCAGAGAATTTAAGAACTCCTTTGCCGCCACTTTGGTTTCCGCCGCTAAAGCAATCAAATGAATTCTGCGAGACGTCCTCAGGTTTTGAACTTGACAAGGCCAAAAACGAAACAATTCTGCGAGACTTCTTAATTTTTTAACTAAACAACGTGAAAAACGAAACAATTCTGCGAGACTTCTTCCTTTTTTGAACTTCACAACATCCAAAACGAAGCAAGTCTGCGAGACTTCTTCAATTTTTGAACTTGACAACATCAAAAACAAAGCAATTCTGCGAGACTTCCTTCAAAAATGGAAAGTTGAGTGCAGCGCTTACGGCCTCGTACCAATGCGTTTTGCGATATTTCCAACTCCACCTGTCTAAAGTACTACGCCTGCCACGAAGAAGTGATGCCAGGTCATACGAAGTGCTGCACCTGTCACGCAAAATCATCTTAACATATCTTAACAAACCTACAGATCTGATGCTCCAAAATGCAACCCGTCTCAGGAAATCAGCGCCCTGACCTCCTAACATCTCTGATGAACATGTCTTTTGTACTGCCCCTGCCACGCGAAAGGTATCTTTGCAGATCCTCTTCAAATGTCCCACGATGTCCCACGTCTGCCATCGTTTTTGGAAATGCTACAAAACCCGCACGTTTTGCTCACTTTTGAGAAGGTGCACAATCCCTTGCGCCTGCCACGCGAAACAACATCTTAACGCCGTGTTTTTAACATTTTGACTTCGAAATGTGCTTCGCGCAACAACGGCGTGCACTTTTCGACATCACAACTTCTAAAAGTGCTCCGAAGCTGAGGTGTTTTGTGCATTTTGACTTCGAAATGTGCTTCGCGCCACAACGGCGTCCACTTTTTCGACATCTCAACTTCCAAAAGTGCTCCGAACGTGAGATGCTTTTAGCTTTTTCACTTGCAAATGTGCTTCCCGCCACAACGCTGCGCACTTTTTCATCTCTCATCTGGCCAAATGGCTCCGCACCCGCCGCTTTAGCGAGCCTACTTTTCGACCCTCCCGACCCACAAATCATTGGAAAAACCCAGTGTTTCGCGACTTTCCTACCTTTTCGCGCATCTGAGCTTTTTTCTTCTGACTCTTTCTCTTCTCTGATCTTCTCTCTTCTACTCTTCTCTTCTCTCTGACTCTTCCCGCTTTTCATCTGTCCATATTGTCGGAAGTTTGACTTCTAAACTTCCTTCGGCTATACTATATGTTCATATAATTTAATCATGTTCAATATCACTTTTTTGATTGAATCCTCCTGTTCATTCTTTTGTACCTTTCTTCTAATCAATGAAAACAATCCGAAAAATTGTAGATCTTCCATGATGATGATTAGATTTCCATAAATGTTCCCACTAAAATGTTCCCATAGATGGATTCTAAGTGATTCTATAGATCTTCCCATTTTCTGCCCATGGACTTCGGGGATGTCCAGCCTGCGACAAGTTCTGCTCCACCTCCTGTGCCGTGATGCCCAAGTCACCTGCAGTGACCACCTCAGTCACCCAAAAATTCACCTCAATAATTCCTTCGAAGCATCGAAAAAAATGGTCATGATTTGGGCACTTAAATATGTTGCATATATGCATACATGTATGTATGAATTTAATAATATGTAATTATCAATTCTGAAATCAGGATGAGAAGCGGATGAAGATCAAGTTTGTCCCAATCTGGATGGAAAGTTCGAGATATGAAACACATACGAAGAACAACAAAGGTCAGGTATGCAGGAATATATGCAGGAATGACATGTCAAGGGTGATTGCAACAATCAAGGAATGGCTGCCATGCCAAATCCAAACAGGAGGTTTTCGAACATCTCAGTTTCTGCCAGCAACATGGGCTCTGAACATGGGGTTTCGGTATCCCCTCGCGATACGCCAAAGTGGCCACTTTAGTGGGGAACATGATGGTAGTCACTATGAGATGTCCATGGATGTCCATGGCATTTATTGGGCTCCAAGTCTTGAGACATCACGGCATTATGGCATTCTGGGGCACATAAAGCGGCATGCGTAGCATCTCAGCGATGGCTTCAGCTGTCAGTGTCTTGCCACAGCCCGGTGGTCCGTAGAGCAGAAAGATCGTATTGTCACCCTGGCAGCGAAGCAGCCAGTAGTGCTTCAGCCAAAGAAAACCATTCAAACAGGCATCGATCGGAATCAACATCAACAACAAGAGTTCAAAGCAATTGCAAACCATTGGCGATACCATAGAATTGCAACTCAAATGAAACAAAATAGACTAGTGAAATCTAGTGAATTTAGATGAATTTGGGGTTCACAGTTATACCTAACTGTTTTTTCAATACATTTCCTGGCCTTACCAGAGATGAAATCCAACCCGCTGCTGCTGGCATGACGCACCGCTGACCTAGGTCTTGTCCGTGGAATTGCTGATGTTTTTTGCTTTTCACCATGGTGTGTGACCTGTAGAGTATGTATATGGATGTGTGATGATGTGTGTATACATGTTATATATATATATACTGTATCGAATCGAAATCATTACATACGTCTACATATATATATATATGTATTTAGAAATGCATATATATATAGACAGTATACAGTAGCACACACACACACACGTATATATATATATTATACATATACAGTATATATATATATATTCATATCCCATATCCTGGATTGTTTGGAAGCCCACTTGTTGAAGTTTCCCTATACATTTAGCATGGTTAACCTTAAATCACGTTTCTTGGATTTTCTATGACTTTCCCATTTGAATCTCCTAACATGATGTCATTCTCGTTGCGGCGCTTGATGATCTCCTTGGTGGCTGCGGGCAACACCAGTTGCTCAAAGGCATCAGCCCTGAATTCGATCGGTGAAGTCTCCGAGACCAGGACCTACAGCGGCTGCAGCTGTGCAGCTGAGCAAAATGGGCTGTGAAACTGAGGAAACAAACAACTGACACAGGGATTAATATGATTAATATGGATTATCCTAGCAACAAAGCAACAAAAGTTGAGTATGGCACTTGATACTATAATGCACTATAAAAGCTGACACAGGGATTGATAGAACTCGCAAATATCCACAAAAAATCGGACCAAGAAAAAGGTGATATACCATGATATACCATGATACACCAAGAAAAGGTGGGGCTGTCCCAAAGAGTTTGTTGAACACGACGAATCCCAGGTGGCTGCTGGGTCTCCTGTCCCACCATGTCCCACCATGCCCGGTGGCCTGACCCCAACATTTTGCGGTAAAGCTAAAACCAACTAATGCCGGCCATGCCATCCAAAGCCTCGGCTGCAAGAAGGGAAACTATGGGAAACTCAACCCACACATCAACAGCACAGTAAACACGTGGTGAAAAACAGTCGCATCAAGTTGCTTATATATATATATATAAATTTTAATATATAATTGTACATAATTGTGACATATTCCGACTTTTTTCCTGGTTGCCCATCAAACCAATGAAAGGATCTGGAGCCAAGCCACTCCTCTGCGGTTGGCTCGTGCACAATCCGGAGGCTCTCGGTGCCATGTTTCCTCCATTTGGCTGGCTGCGGCAGAATGGCAACCCCATCTCTCCAATACATTTTTTCAGAATGGGCACACCATCGACAGGTGCATAGTATGCATATCATCCCAGAAAATCATGCAAAATCGGTCGCGCTCTCACTCTCTCTCTCTCTCTCTCGCTTTCTCTCCATGTGTTAAACTTCGCGATTTGGACCATCGGCACATACACCATTTGACCATATTTGACCACTTTTCATCTGTTTTCATCATGTTCATCATGTTCATCATTTTCATGGGTGCCTCGGAGCTTCCAAGCCCCATTGACCAAGGCACATCTGCAGCTTGAAGGCTTTCATTGCCTGCTGCAGCGCCAGGGAACAGAGGTCCCCACCTCGGGCTGCATGATGACCATAGTCCTGGCGGCTGGTTACACCAAGCGGTGTCAGTTGCACCAACCTGAATTCAGGCCTGTGGGATACTGATTTTCTTGCACCAAAAAAGATAGAACATGATAGAACGCATTTCTCCAGCATGGTATAGATTTAGATGATATCTATTGATATTTATGTGATTTTATGTGTATATGTTCATTATTTTGCAGGTTTTCATCTTTTCTATGGGGGTTACTATACCATGCTAGGCCCCAAAGCCATCCTTCCATTGTTCCGTCGGCTCCTGGCCACGTTGGGTATCCAGCATCACCCGTCCATCAGATAGGGCCGCATGCTTGGAGCGACCATGAGAATAGAAGGACCCCCGGGCGTAATGCCTTGGTGCCAACTGGCCAAAAGTAGAGCATATAATGAATATATCATGAATATATCATGAATATATTATGTGAATTCATGTGGATAGCTGGAACATCAAATTAATAAGTCATCATTTTTTATACTAGCGTATGTCAGCTTATTGACTTTACTGTAATTCCTGGCTAACAATTTGGCATAATTTGGAATGCCTCGAAGGATCTCGAAGGTATGTCGCCGAGAATATGTAAAGAATTGCAAATTATTTTCATGTTGTTCATGTCTTTAATTGAAAACAATACTAAATGGCTTACATTTTTCTGTGGCATTTTTGTCAACAATTAGTTATTCTCAATTCTTTCAAGTCTTTCATTTTTATCGACAATTCTTAGTGATTTATTTATAGTTCTTTTCATGTTTCAACAATATATCCTGAGCAGCTCCACATCTACAATCTTCACCATTCATCATTTGCGGCGTCTTCTGTTGCTGAAATACAAACTCATCAAACTACCAAGAAACCAGTCCTTGGTACACGAGCAACACTATGTTTTTCACCTCTTTTTAGAGCAAATCATCCTCACAAAAAAAACCAATCAATCCGTTCTAATATCACTACAGTATCATGGATCATATCCCAATCCCAATCCCCAGCAGATCTTTCAGGATTCAGGATCTCAGGACCTCGAATTCGCAGATCCCAGTCCCAGTCCCAGCTGCATGTAGGGTGTGCTTGTGGCGGCCTGGAGGTACTTCTCTCCCTGATGTTTCAGGCGCTGCATGATTTCGTTGGTCATCAGCTGGTAGAGCATGGCATCCAACCGCCGCGTGCCCTGATACCTGGCACTTGGATTAGCAACTGGCCATCAGGCGATAAAGGATCCCGTTAGCTGAAACAGCACTTGTTTAGTGAAGGTTAGTTAGTCTTTAGTTCTTCCTTTATTCTTATAGTACCCAAACCATACCATTCATCCAGTCCAGTGCATCATAGTGCATCCATAGCTGCATAGACATGGGCTCCTGGAAATTGATCTTTGCAAAGGTCTTCCCCACCGAGGCCAGAAATTCCAGTTCCACATGGAAGGATTTCGCCTGGGAATCAGTGGCCATTTCAGGTACGATGGCCATAATCTGGTTGGTGGTAGACCTACCCCTCTGAAAAATATGTCAATGGGATGGATTATCCCATATATTATGGAAAACAAAAATGTTCCAAACCACCAACCAGTAACTATAGAGAAGGTACTTATAGATGTACTTGGAATCGAAGAGGTCTCCCATGGTCTCCCTTTCAGGCTTTTGTCTTATGGGGACATATGGCCGAATAGTGCCGAAGATGGTACAGTACCTCCAGTTTAGATGCCTTGAGGCCTTAAATGACCGCTGATGTTTTAAATATAAATAAATAAAGAAATACATAAATAAATAAATAAACATATGTGTATATTATATAATATAATATATATATATATTAATTATATACATTGACTTGGTGTTATGTAGTAATATATGACTCAAACATCTTAGATAACCCTAGCTGTAGCACGAAGATATCGTTGACCACATGGGTGGTGCCGAGTTACAGGACCGAAGAGGGTGCTTTGCAGCTGATACCAGGATTGAAGCACCTCACGTGAACCGGCACGTCTGCAGGTGAGTGGCTAGTGGCTGGCCATTGAATCAACAATTGACGGATCACTTAATGCAACTGATTTGTATATCATATTGGAAATGCTTCTTGAAGGATTTATATGGATTTATACATGCAGTCCCTCTACTGAAAAACATCTTACAATAAATATATACATAGAATCGATATTGATAATTAAATAACAACTTAACATCTCTCTCTCTCTCTTTCTCTCTCCCTTGCCATCAACTATATTTCATTATATTTCTATACCCAGGAGTAACATTTTGAGAAACACAGGTTGCAAATGATGTAATTCATGGAGTCTCTGCACGCCCAGTAGGAGTTGCCATGGCACAGTAAGACCCAGGGGTTCGCTTAGGCCATCGATGGTCATCCACACCTGGCATGTGGCACTCCCAGCTGCCTGGAGGTGTGCTACGTCAAGGATGCTTTTGTTTATGGCAAGCAAATTCCAGATAATTCCAGATCACTTTAGGACACTAGGAGTGAATAAGACATGTTTTATTTTTCGAAAAAAATCGCGCACTTTTTTGACTCTCCTGGACTCACAGAGGGGCTGCGCGTAGCTGCGCAGCACATAGATCTCACAGCGCCACTCACAAGCGAGACTTCGTAAAGCGCACCGTGCCCAGCTGATACATGTCACAGATGGTATGGGAACGCGTCGCAGAATGCGATTGATTTGAACGAAGTGAACGGCTTTGGGAACTGGAAGTGCTTGAGTGACTGCGTTCACTCCGAGGCGACTGTCAGACGCTGTCATGCCTACTTTGTGGCCTCTGTCTAAGTCCTCGCCAATCACTGGGCAAGTTTCGGAGGCTTGACTCGGTCAAAGTGTCACTAGGAAGATTCATGACCATGGATCCCATCCAGGCATCCAGGATGGGATCATGTTCAATGGTCACATATGCTTGAGCCTCAATGTGTCCCAACAAATCAAAGGTCACAGTAGCGGGTCTGATGTCGTGTGGGACACGTTCAGCGATGGCATTTCCCAAGTTCTGCAATTCCCGGCAGAGCGATAGCCGCGTGTCTTGGCTTGCAATGTCCAGAATATTATCCTGGACCGATTGGAATAACAAACCGAAGAAGCACAAATCAACATCATCAAAACATATTGAAGCATTGCCGCATTTGCATGCATTTGCTCTTTTATGTTGCTTTATAAACCTAGCTTGATAATAGCATGCTTTCTCAACGTCTACCTTCATCAAAACGTGTTCGATTTGACATGCAAATCTTCAGTGCGGTCCAAGCATCAGGGGCTGTGTCTCCTAAGTACGCTTGGCAAAGCCGCTGCATCTCCCCATTCATGATATGAATGTGAAAGGTGTGCAGATCAAACACCACAAGCAGAGCCTCGCCTCTCCCGATCGAAGGACTGCTTGAAGGACTGTGCCCGATCGGTGTCACATGGGGAGGATCCACGTCTTGAAGCTCTCGTAGGCCCACCAGAAAGCACCTCTCATTTGCGAGATTCTTGAACTGCGCGCAGAACAGCTCCACCTTGACATGGTTGAAATCGGAATCCAGCATATCGGCATTCAATGCCACGACAGAGATGCGCTGGACAGAACTGAACACTTGCTCGGAAATTCGCTGTCTGTCTCCTTCGCTGAAGAAGTCAAGCAATGATTTCCCTGACAAACCATCAGCTTTTGGTGCGGTTTGGAGAAGCATTGATGCAAGTTGGCCTGAATCCTCACGTGCCGTTATAGAATTCTGCCCAAGGATAAGTGGTCAAGAAACGGCAGCTTCAAAATTACTTTATCCAAAAAATCACTTAAAACTTAGTGGGGGAGGTTCTGTAGGAAACATTAAAAGCTATTAAAAGCTACGATACGAGGCAGTCCAGGCTCCTGAGTCAATCTGAAGTTTTGATCCACTTCCACAACGGCATCGTAGCATGGAGTCAGTAAATAAGAAGAGACAGCACCTAGCTCCACGCTCCGCTTTTGTAAGTTCTCCTTGAGAAGTACATTCTCTTTCATCAGTCTCCGGACAGCCAGGATGCCCAAAAACATCAGCAAGAACATAAAAATATATAAAAATGAGTCCCTGGATAGAGTATGCTCCACTGTTTTGCCGTCCTTGCAACCTGACTATTAGAATTATTTAGAATTGCTTGGAGCAGGTGGAGACTCGGATGCCATTTTCGCAGCGACCAGCGGTCCGTTGAGCCAGCACTGCGGACCAGAGAAGCGGTGTGGGAAACCGAAAGTCAGCACAGCCCGGACATCTATAAAACCACAGGTGGAATCATATAGGAAGCATCTAGGAGAAATATCAACGCCACATACACGATGTCATGGCTTCTCGGATTCAGCACGCGAGGGAATGACTTCAACAACAGCGTAACAGTGGCAGCTGTCAAAATATTGAGATCATACTCTGCAGCTCTGTCCTCATCAAACTGTCTACTGACTAAGCGGTACATGCTGATAGTGAAACCCACAGAAGTAAAGCGATGCATCCAGTTGCAGCGTATCACATTGAGTTCCTGTTCGCTGCTATCACTGCCACTACCATCACCATATCCTCGTTGGCGCTTCCACATCTTCCACCATTGAATCTCCTTGTAGCACTTGCAAGAGGCGCAGATTTTGTGGATGGACCAGCTTTTTTCCCGAAGGAAAGAAATCAGAAGGCAAATCAGCTTCAAAAGAGCGGCAACTTGAATTAGCAAGGTGCCAAATCGTAGGGCGGAAGTCTTCGAGACATCCATAGGTGTGAAACACGATGTGTTTTCTCTGTACAAAATCACTTGAGAGCAGGCGGAGGCGGACGAAAGGTAGTGTAGTGGGAGAGGAGTGGTGTCAAAATGCTGCGCTCCTAAGATGATACACCAAAAACGTTTTTGCGCAGTCTAAGATGATTTTATCCAGAGCATGACTGCATGATACGGTGTCTTGTGCAGCGTGAAATGATGCACGAAAAGGGGTTTATTAAAACCCCTTTTTAAGACCCCTTGCAGCAACTGTTATTGAGGCTGAAGCAAACCAATTATGCTGGACTACAGGGACATCTCCCTCATGGAGAGTGTGCCTCTACTGTGGAGGACCGTGACCGCGTCACCCGTGGGAATTGAACCCATGACCATTTTAGGGGGCCCTTATAATTGATATCTAATACATAACGTCGAGAATTCTACGTTTTGCACGGGCTATGGCCCCCCAATACCCCCTATGATTGTGCTGAAGCACGGAGAACTCAGGTAGCTGACGCTACCTTTCGTGACTTTGAACCCCGGAAATTCGACCAGCCAGTCTCCCATGTAGCGTCTAGATGTCATAGGTCGATCGGCATCTCACCCATCTGCCGGCCCAGGGCGGCCCATAACATCCCAGAAGCAAATCAAGAATACAGGCCTCACATGGAGCCGCGCCTTCTCTCCCGGGTAGAAAACCTCGCCCAGAGCATTGAACTGCACATAGCCTCGGCATCGGCTGCTTCAGCATCTTCAGCTGATTGAGCAACGGCAAAACTGCCTGTGAAAAGCCAGCCGGAGGGAGGGGGGGAGTTAACTGTGAATTTTCACGCGATTGGAGATTCCAGCCACTGCCCATACCTTGCCAAAGCAAGAGGGACTTCAGCTGGCAAAAGCTAACAATCGTGATTTGGCACATTGACACTTTTGACTCAATCTCCATGAAAACACACTCCGGGTTTATATATGAGGATCGCAAACAAACAAGCAAGTTAGCTTGAAATCTGTGATGTGTTTAATCTTGGGCACCCTCAACTTTCAGGAAGTTGCCGCCAAGCACTGACAAGTCGCCACACTCGATGTCTTTCCGATACTCTTCCAATTCCTCAACATGGCTTGTGAGGGCCGCTAAGCCAAGCGGCTTTGCCTTTTTGAGATGCCGTACATGAAGTGATTGTGACGATAAAATCATGTTGGCAACAGAAATGAGAAGGACTGAGGGGTATCACCTAACAGGGATATCAATTCTGAAATACAGCGGCTCAAAATGATTCCAGATTTGATCCAAATGACATGCATCCAATCATGAGATCCTTTCAATCCTTCGGCCCTGTTCCCTTTGCTTCGACCTTTGTACCCGCAATTCTTGCCCACAGGACCAATTCGTGGGTGAAACAAATAGGTCCGGCAAATTCTGCTCATGTGCTCTTCTATTCTTATTATTTTTGTTCATTATCGCTATCTTTATAGTGGCTGAATCCCTCATATATGAGTTGATTCCTGTTGATTCAATTCAATATATTCTTCCGTTCACTTCCTATGTTGAGGGTGAAATCGTGCATCTCCGAGGATCCTCGATCTCCCCTTCCAGGGCATTGATCAAATCGTCCAAACCCTCCAACTTCACAGGCCGTTCGCCCGCAACAACACCGCAGGAGGAACACATTTCCAAGAAGCGCCTGAAGTCGTCACGGTGTTTCCCCCTTTTGTTTCACACAAGTTCAGTCAGGAAACTAATGGAAACTAACATCAAAACACGCGCTGTCTAGAAGATTGACTGCAGTTCCTGTATATACTGTTTTCTCTTGTGGATCTGCTACCGGGCCACTGTCCATCCACAGGTCTTGTGGCAGCATTGAACAAATTCCGCTCGTAGCGCAAGGCGCGCAAGCGGCCAAGGTTCAACAGAGCCATATCGATCCGGACGTCCTGTCCCGGCGTATACCCTCTGGTGGTTATTTAACGTCATAGCAACAGAAAATTACAATCATTTAGGCATTTAGGGTATGAATAAACAGTCATTTTTCGTGGCTAGGCTATGTGTTAGATTGTGCGGAGGTTCCTCGTAACCATCATCCACAGTGGCATCATCTATCAAGTGGATATAATGTTCCAACCATTGGTTTTGCATGGTTTTGCTACATACTGGTATGATAATTTCAATATAATTTCATGCAAATTTAGTTTCCCAATGACGTCTCCATCTTTTTAATATTTGGCACTGATCACAATGCGACTTGGTGACAGTGTCCAGAATGATATCACATGTATATAATAGATTATAATAGCACAATAGCACAGGCCTCCTATTTTGAGACATGCTGCGGCATCACGCTGTGCGAACGTTTTTCTTAAATTTCTGTTTTTTGTGAGATAGCGGAATGAAATCTTCGGCTGGCCGGTGGGTTTGGGGCAGTGAAGCCTGATGTTAACTCTGTGGAAGTAATCCCATCCCCCTAATATAAAACAACCATCAAAAACGATCGTTTACTAGTGGGTTTACGCATATTTGGGCCCACCTTAGATGGGCGATGGATATTTGGGGGATGGGATGAATGACTACCATGTGATTCATATTTCATATGGGGGGAAATTTGGGGGATACTGAACAAATTGGGGGGTATACCTCCCCCAATAGTCACGGATGAATCCGGGGCGTCATCAATGAATCAAACATCTAAACTCTGCCTATGAGGATAGCATCGGGTTCTCATTGCTGGCTGCTAGATGCTGCTAGGGTGCCTTCTGATGTCTTCCAGAGTCTGTGAGATGTCTTACCAGAATTGCCAAATCACGATCCGCGGGCTCAGAAGACATCACCAGAACCTGAGACATTGGCCCAGATGGCGGCAATGCGAAACAGCTGGGATGGATGGGGATGGATGGTGATTGATGGTGATGGTGACACTTTACGATTTGATTCGATTCATCTGATCAGTAATAAATGTCATTGGATTTTTTTTACCTTGACGCTGATGAGAAGGTTGAGAAGTATGATGAGGCCGAGGTCAAGCACCTCATCGAAGTTTCCCATCAAACTCTTTGAATCAGCGCTCTGTTGACAAAGGAGGCCATGAAAATTCAAATTGTTTAAGAATCATGTCAATGGGGAGGTTCTCATTGCCAACTATTGTAACACCAGTACCAAATGGCCAAATACATCCAAATGCGCACCTAACCAGCCTAGCCCTGCAAATCCTGCAATGGATCTCAGGGTCTTGCCACTGCTGTGATACCAAGGTGCTCCTCCTCTCTGACAGTTCTGTGGCCGCTGGATGTGAAACCGAGAGGGAGAGCGGGTTGCCTCGCGGCGACTTTTTCAGGCATCCGCTTTCTTCACATCTTCCAACTTGCACTGAAGGACGATCTTTGATATTCTTTCATATTCTTTGATCCTTTTTGGATCTTGGCTCTTGGCATGGCTATTTCTGGTGATATGGAGTATATGGATGTGGAATAATGGTTGGGTTTGAAGTTCCAAGTTCCAGCCATTTCTATCCATTTCTGCAAAAAGTACTACTTCCACCAGTTCCATGCAACGTCCCAGGCGCCGAAGTCTCAGGAGTCTCGGGCGAAATCTGCACCACTCTCCGCGCTTGAGGCTTGGGCAAGGGAGGACCTTTGCCTGGACCTGGGGATAGCATCCCACCATGGTATGCATGTGGCTGCACGGTGCATCCTGGAATTCCTGTGGCCTCTATTTTATATATCTATTCTCATCCATTGGTGGGTTCTATATATGTTTCTGTTAGTTTACTGTAGGCCTCTCATATTCTCCAATTCTTTTTCGCAGCAAATCGGCACATCAGATCATACGGGTCTGATAATTCCCAAGCCTTTTGGGCTTTATCCATGGCACAAGAGATTAGCCCCTGAGCATCACACCTTTCCCAGCTTTTTGGGACTTTGGAACTGGCGCTTTCTGGTCACCAGCCTGCTTGTCGCAGAAAACTCAAGCTTGTCGCAGTAGAATCCCGTAGGGATGAGTACTTTCCCCGTGGATTTCTGAGAAGATATGGGCATGGACGAAAAACTACATAATACGACCAGAATGATCCAGAATTGGATGGAGTTATACTAAACATGGCCAGCAACTGTGAGCATGTTGAACCTCACGGTTGTCTTGCTCATGCAGTCATCCCCCAGCAAACATGCAAACCAAGACTTTAGTATGGACAGTGTGGATGATTTTCTGTTCGAAAAAGCCTTCAAAAGCAATGTTGTAGTGGGGTTTCATGATTCATGGTGAAAAATCTTGGCTTTTTTGGTTAGAGCAGAACTTATTGAAGGAAAAAAGACGACAACACACATCCCAGACCTCTTCTTCTACGGCTTCCCCAGCCAGGTCGATGACCTGAGGTCACAATTGACGACTGACCTCAACTGATTGGCCTATGAAACTGCCATAAACTGCCACTTGTTTTCATACATAATGACGAATCATACAAGATATTACAAGATCATACAAATAGTCATTACACATCATTACACTATACTTGTGGATTCAGTGCTGTGATTTCTAATCCATCTAGCCTGGAAGCTCCTACTGGTACCTTGCCGTCGGCCTTGGATGTCTTGGCCCCCTGGCAACTCGCGCTGCCTCCTCCTCCTCAGCAACTTTGGCTTCGGCAGCGCCATCATCGCCATTCGCAGTGGCCATGGTGATCGATTGGTCGTGGTCTTTAGTCATTGGTAAGTTGCCCAACAGCTGCGCAAAACTTGTTGGTGTCAGTGTGCCACAAAATATCACCACACAATCAATGTTATCATGTCATCATGTCATCATGTCATCACTAAATCCATGCACCCAATGTCAGTTGCTCGCACTTCTTTTGTTGTTCTCTCTGCCGTGCTGAACCTATCCTTGGTCATGCTGTTCAAGTTCCATTGCTGGATGAGTGGTGGCCCTTGCGATGATCCATTGCGGTCAGAGAATCTCAGTGAGAATTGACAAATCAAAAGCGCGTGACCCCAAAGCAATAGAGGATCGCTTTTACAACGGGTTTTTGGGACTCCTTTGCTACCATATGGGCTTTAAATTTCTTTTGTACGCACATTCATGGGACAAAGTATTTCGAACTCACGATTGACTCACAGGCTGAAGACCCACCGACACATAGCCAAACTGCCAATCACTTGGAACTACCTATAGTTCAAGAATAGTTCTCAAGACCCTGGGCATCAGTAGATCCATAGGTCCCATAGGTCAGGGACAATTGCACCATTCTCAGCCCAAAAAGGTGCTGGGATCACGGCTTTTGACCAGCTTTGTGTCCGTCAGCAACTAAGGGCCTCATTTGCTAGGTGACATATGCACGCGTTCTATAACCAGGCCCACTTCTTTTCCGGCGAGAACGGTTCTCATCGTGGTGCGAGTGGTGGTTGGGACCAAACCATATCTCTCTCTCTCTCTCGCTCTCTTCTCTCTTCTCTCTCTTCTCTCTCTCTCTCTCTATCTCTCTTTCTTTCTGTCTCTCTCTCTCTCTCTATGGCCGTCTCAAAGAGTTCAACAGAAGCTGGAGGCGAGCAGGTGGCCCAGCTCAATCAGTGACTAGCTGGTCAGCCAGCAGCGTCATTCGTCTGAGCAATTTATGTGGCAATTTGGAAACTTCTACTACAATTCAGTGGTGGTGAATGACCATATAACTTGGTATTAAATTCCTGCAAGTCGAACCCATAGCAATCTGCCAGGAACTCACCAATCCATTATGTCAATCCGTCTCAATCAGCCTGTGTCTCAATATCCCGGTTTAAGAGAAAACCTACAGGAAAGCATGGAACGTATTAAGGGTTTGGTTTTCTGCGGATTTCCCCCGTAAACCAAGTCTTGAACATATTGTTTGAATATGTTATGATCATCCATCAGCTTATTATAAAGATGTCCAATTTCCTGGCATTTCGCATGTCTGAGGCCTCTGCAACACACAGGCACGGTCACGGCCGTGGTAAGAGTCGAATTGCAGGGCTGACTTCTCCAAGCCTGGCACTGGCACCTGCGGACCTGTTTCCTGAGGACCTGGGGGCAGCCAACGCAGAAATGTAATTCTTCAACGGCTGTGTCACATACATATCCGATGGATAAACAATGATAAACATGGTGGCGGCGCCTGTGGAGCGACCGCGCTCTTTCATGTTTTTCAGAGGTCGTTTTAGAGGTTCAAAGCACAATTCCCTGTAAAACGCAGGACTTTATTCATGAACCTTGCTCGATCGATGTTAAAAAATGGTTCAAAAACATTGGAGGCGCGCCTCAAAATTAACTTCGTGTCGTTTTCGCTGTAGCGAAAACGCGATTTTTGGAAAAAATGGATTTCGAAAACATATTCCCGAAACACATTCGAAGCTTTTTTACATCTGCGGTCTGCTCACTTCCAGTATCCGATCTTCTTGTCGATCGATTTCATGAGTTTTCCAAGTTCCTGCAGTAAATCCAAGCCAAGTCCAATTTTGTCCCTGAAGTTATTCAACATCTTCACAACGTAGCATCCAGAGCGTCCCTGAAGTTACTTCAACATCTTCACAACGTAGCATCCAGAGCGTCCCTGAAGTTACTTCAACATCTTCACAACGTAGCATCCAGAGCGTCCCTGAAGTTACTTCAACATCTTCACAACGTAGCATCCAGAGCGTCCCTGAAGTTACTTCAACATCTTCACACCGTAGCATGCCGTAGCATCACATCCTTCCGGCAGCCGACATGAACGTTATAAGCCCACCCCATCCCCCCCCCACCCCACCCCACCCCATGCTCTGACGCAGCGGTTGAAACAGGACGAACATCCCCAAGAACCAGACATTCACGTCAAATCAACATGAAAACATTAAGACCAACTCAAGATCACATGGTAAAATTTACAACAGTGCGGTCGCCTGAGAGGCGCCGTCACCATAAACATACCTATATAAAACAATGGATACACATGGTCAAATAAATGTAACATATGATGACAGATATCGAACTCATACCTCTGTCATTTGAAAGGCTTGTGCTAGAGCTGCTATGTTGTGCTCAAAATTCCTTTGAATGTCCCAGTCATCGACCAATCCCCAAGTTTCGGACGCAGGGCATGCCGCTTGAACTGCACATCATCGACCATTTCACTCTTGGCAGCCTGAGATCAGGAACCCATGGCATCCCATAATTCCAGCGTGGTTTGAGTTTACCCGGATTTAAGATGATTTAAATTGCCTATAATAGTCACTATACCTGTGTCACTATTGTAGTATCCATTTCCCATGTGTGCTGGTGAATAGGTCACTTGTTAGTAGGGGGCCCCCAATTTCAGACACCCACTACCGCCACTAGATCCCATCACATCCCATCGAAATTGATCAATGTCAACTATATAATTCTGCTTGCTGGTCATGGTTCTATATGTATGTATACATATCCCAAATATATCCCCATCATACCACCATTGAATAGCCATTTACATGCCATGAAATCCCCATGAAATCGCACCTGCAAGGCTTCCTGCAGCTCGTGGCCGGCATCCACATAGGCACCTGAGATGGAGTGAACATATGTCGAAAGTGCTCTGTTGGAAATCACCGGGCTATATTATACACAACAATCACTAAATATACCTTATTATATATACTTAGTTGAATATTAACAGGCGAATATCAATCCTCGAGTATTATCAGGATATAAAACAAATTGAATCATGACTAAACAAGTCTGATAGATTCAATTCGTTTCTTTTCTTTTCGGCTTTGCCCAGCAACCGCAGTGACCGACAGTCGAGACACTGAGCATCTTGTAGGCTTGCTCCAGGACAAACCTCAAAGGGATTAACATCCGGTTTCATCAAAGGTGGAGAGGGAGAAAATCCAGGAACTACAGAACTACATAGAGATTTATAGTCTGGGAAACTTATTATATAATAAATCAGCTTTTACCATTGCCATGTTTGATTACCAAAGGCTAAACAGCAAAGGATTCAGCCTGAAGCAATAACGATCAGCACAATCATAACAACCACGATGATCATAGGACTAAAAGTAGCAACAGGGATAATAATGACATTAACTTGTTTTAAAAACAATAGCAAACGCACACCCTAACAATCATAGCAATATTAATTACAATCAAACACTCATAACAGCAAACATATTATAAGCAATAACAACAGTAATAACGAATAACAACAACAGTAGTACAAGTGGACGTCCTTACTTATCCCATCCACCGAGTAGTCACCCCAACCTCATGGCACAGCAAGTTGCCCCAGGGCAAACAAAGTGCTATCTGAGACAACTTAGAGTTAGAGACTTAGGGCTTTCACCCAGTAACAACAACAATAATAGTAATAATATGTAATAATGAGCAAATATTGCTCCAATGTAAGCACTCATTTGAAGCCCCACTTGTTTGTCCCAGTTCTTGGAGCTTGCCTCTCGTTCAGCAGCGCCACCTGAAAATCGTCCTGCACGATTTTTTCCCGAAATGGTCCCCTACATGAGTCACAACATCGATATACGAGCGAAACTTATTGGAACTTCCGAGACATGAAACACGTAGATTACAACATACCACAAATACCTTGAAAATACATTTATAATCTACTAGGGTGCAATAAATGTGATGTCTATTATACAGTCCGCATCTATATATTTTAATCAATGGGATACGTATAACCTTGATAAACACACATAATATACTACAATACAATACAATACAATATAATATAATATGGGATATAATATGGGATATACTGGGACAATTGACCCATTTCTACAAATTCCAAGGGGACAACAACTAGCCTCGCAAGCATTTGATCCACCGGTGGCCTCCATAAGCTCTTCCTCTGGCCGTTGACCACGCACCAAAATCCTGAAACCGTGGAGTTTGTCTGAACATGGGGCTGGTATACCCCCAAGAATGGTTGTCCAATAAGTTACCCTCTGGTAAACTTACATAACTATGGAAAATCACCATTTTTAATGGGAAAATTCACTATAAATGGCGATTTTCAATAGCTATGTTAAATTACCAGATGGTATCCAATAAGGAAAATGATGATCAGCCTGTGAATTTGGGGCAGCCCAATTTTAAGACTCATTTGGCTGGAAAATGAAGAGTAGTGAAGGGAATAATCCCTGAACCCTGGAAGACTCGAAGAATCTTGCAAACCTTTTTGCTCTCAACATGGTCGCTCCATGTTGCTCCCATGGTCGGGTTACATGGAGTGGGAATGAGATGAAGGGGCATGAAGCGACCAAATCACAGTGAACACGCTGGATGTGCAAGACGCATCCAAATCTTTTACTATATATAAGAATTTATATGATTTGATAATCTGCAGTAGCAAATAACCAGTGAACGCTTTGGATATCTGGGTGTTTTATGGTGTTTTATGTTTTTGTTTTTCATAGGGCGATGTCCACAATGCCAAGACTTTTCTCAGCAAGTGCGCCACCTTCTCTCGCAAATGATGGCGGGTTCTTCCAGCCTGGGCTAGAAACATCGACAGCAAGCATGGCTACAGATTGAAATTATCGACAACTATATTATGGTTATGATCTCCAATTTATATGCACATAGTTATACAGATACTATATGTGATTATATATGTATATCATATATATATATACACACATTACCCTCCGGTAAACTAACAGTTTGCTATTGAAAATGGCCCAGTCTTTAAATAGTGGATTTACCCATCAATAGCATGGTGATTTTCCAGATCTCCATAACTCCATCGGAAGCTCGGTTGCTGACGCTTCCTGTTCCCGCTCCAAGATGCAGACGGATTGATTGACCTGGCGCGTTACGCGAAGAGAACGGGCACCGGTAACACCATGATGGGCGAACGAAGCATCTTTAAGCACCGAAAAAAAGCCCCGGTTAAACCATTCAGTGGCCGTTGGTGACCTCATATCATTCATATCCCTGTACTTGTCGGTCAGAAAAAGTCCAATTGTTGGATGATGTTGGATGAAAACCACCCTTGATAGTGGGTCTTGCAGGTGTGTTTTTCCCAGCATTTTTGGCAAAATTCCTCCCTACCTCCCAGAGATATCCGAGCCCAGTGACCTTGCGCGTGGAGGACTCTGTGCCTGCACGAAACGAGGATGGGAACGTCGTATCCAGGCATCCTCATCCTCCCCCGTCATTTATGACATCCTGCAACAACGGTACACCGTTTTGTTTCACCCTTTATGTTACATCAGGTTTAAATCTAACATGACCATTCACAGGTGTTTCTGAGAGTTGCATACTCCATCCTCCCAGACCCCACATCCACCATCTGCCATCTGAAAAGGAAAACATGTACTAATTAATGTGTAAAAAAAATCGTATGCAATAATAGAACACTGCCATGTTCTGCCATCTATTTTTTGATTTGTGGACAGCATATTGACAATCCCCATCAAAATGATCTTTCCATTCAAAAGCTATCAGCCGAAAGCATCAATAGACACATGTAGGGGTCGGATCGGTTGCGGATAATGCCATTCAGAAATTCAAATCCTTCCACCTATGAGTTCTACGACTGGGGGACCGGGGGCTGGGCCCTCTACTACTCAACTCGCCGTGGAAAGGGAATCTACTGTGACACAATCTGATTCTTATAAATTCACATAAACTCCATGTAAAAAGTTAGATCAACCCCTCATCCAATATCATCCAATACAAAATCCCCAACCAGATCCCTGAAAAATCACAGGGAACTCCCAATCACCAAATCACCAAATCGCTGCCTTCAATCCGCCCGTGCAACTGCCGCAGCAAAGTCTCAGTCTCAGCCACCTTTTTTGCGGCATCTGGAGGAACAGTGTTGGAGAAGAACTTCTCCCAAAAAAAAGAAAGACACCTACATGGGTGTGTCTGAAAATAGTGTACCCCTAAACCCAATGGTTAATGACCATTATCCCTATTAAATGGCTATAATTGGGAATATACCCTATTTTCAGACAAACCTACATACAAAGCAAACATCTCTAGATCAATTTTGATCATTTGGAGGGTTCCATCAATGGGAGTACCCCAAATTGGATGGTTTATAGTGGAAAATCCCATTAAAATGGATGATTTGGGGTATCCTTATTGTAGGAAACATCCATCTTAATTAAATTGATTTTAAAATTTTTGATCGATGTGTCCATTGACATTACCTGTTCAATCACCTTCCACTTGTCTTATTGGAAATCGTGCCACAACATGTTCCTTTCTATCCGGCGATTGCCCAACTTCAGGTGCCTTCTTTTGAAGTCTCTGCCGCACTCCAGTGCCTTCAGCTGGGGCGCTACCGCACGAGCCGAACAGAACACACAACCGATCCGTGGGCATCGCTGGTGACAGCTGTTATTAACTTGTCCTTCCAGCAGCTCAGACTTCTTGACCCACTGAGCCATAAGATGCCATAAGGATCATAAGGCCATAAGGTCAACCCCGGATGAATCAGCTCAACTTTGAATCTGTTTATTGATGGGGCTTCCCAACAATTTGAATCGGCATCTTGACATGGGCCCCCCCGCCTGCCCAGTCCTTCAAGGCCACTCTCGGCCGTGCCTGCCGCGAGATTTACTAAAACCAACCAGATAACCATGGGTAATCTGACAGTTTGCCACGGAAAATGGCCTTTCCTTGGCACATCATCTTCAAATGCGTCATGTTATGTCTCATTCATTTTCTATGGCAAAGTGTTCATTTACAAGAGGATAGCCATTGGTTCTGGTGTAGAAACTGCGCGGCGTCCCGGCCTGACATTGCTGTTGCACAGCCTTTCGCAGCATTCGAGCCTTGATTTGAGCATCTCGCCACCTCGTTGATCAAATCCAAGTGGCTAGTGAAACACGACTTTTTTGATCACATATGATTATAGATTGTCATAGGTTATCTATAGATGATCTATAGATGCTCTATAGATGATCTATGGATAAACAATGATAAACACAGTCAACATGAGTCCAGGAGTCCAGTCAGGTCACTGGGCACTCGCACGTGCCATCTGGCTTTGAATCCATGCTATTGGTGGTGCTCCTTCCAGTGGTCAACTCTTTGCGAATGGATGGCACTTGGAAATCCCCTATAAATGGGCATGTAAGTGGGACATTTGTCGTCTATAACACTTCGAAACTCTTGCAGTAAAACAAAGGAGAGTTCAATAGATTCAATACATTTGAAGAATCAAAAGAGGAGCGAGTTCAATACATTTGAATGCACCTTTCCGCAGAAGAATCATCTCTCAACAAGAGTGTCGGCAGTCTGGCTACTGCTGGATACTTTTCTCTAGCGAGCGCACTGCGTTGCACTAAAGATTGTCATTTCCAAGACAGACCCATGCACAATCTCTATGCACATTCTGCACCTCCAATCAGTCACTTTTTGCCCTAAAGCGTTTTCAAATCTGAAGCAATCCATGGTGCTAAATCGTGCAGCAGTTCTGTCTTGCAAAAGCTATTCATGCGTCCTTGCCACTTAGCGGCAAAGAGCCATAAATCTGTCCGGTTGTAAAAAGTTCATGGGCTGTCTGGATCTGCTAGGAACTTGTGAGATCCTTGGCCATTTGTGGCGATCTCTTTGCTCCAATCGATCGAAATTCCTAAAACAATTCAAACCATCCAAACTCCATGACTCCCATCACTATCATCACTTGCTTCATCATTTTTCATCCCTGTCGCAAACACAAAGTTCATCATGGTTCCACAAAAACCCCGCATTTTCCAACTCCAAGAAGGCCCAGCCATGATCCAGGAAGGCTGCCCCGGACTCAGCTACCGCCGGGACCCCGTGGCCCGCTGAAAGTCGGCATGGCATTCCTCGTGCACGGCCTGTTTTGACTTGGCACCTGCACCTGCCAAGAACTCGAATTGGAAGTCGCTGGGGAATTAAGCACCTACACATTACACATTACATTGGAGCATCAAAAAAGGACTATTAAAACCTCAAACTAGGAAAAGCGAAAAAACGCGGGAAGCTCAAACCATTGATCAGAAGGACCCATTCTGAACCGGGGCAGTTATGAACAGAATATGAACAGAATCTATAATAATCTATATTTATTCTCGCAGAAATCGAGCCCTCTACATGCCAGTGACTTACAACAGCTCCGTTGAAGAACATCCTTTCCGCCTGGCCTCCGTAGTCAAAAATGCGACCGCTGAACCTGGGGTGTAGTTTGCCCGCTGGATTTAGGCTTCATGCAACTAGCATCAACTAGCGATACTATGCGATAGTCAATTTCAATATGTAACATGTAGATGCATGTAGTCGATGTCCTTGTTGCGGCAGTTCTAAGAGGACGTCTTTACCTTTAAATTTGAATAACTTGAACATCTTTGTAGCAGCAGGCATTCACCTGACCCCTCCCCCTTCAAGGGCTCCCCCTTTCTGAGGAAATCCACCATCCAAATTAGATAGGACTAGCTGACTAGCAAAACACATCAACAAACAAATTAAATCAACCCGCTAAGGGGTGAATGCAGCGGAAAATCGTCACCAAACTCTCAGCATTCCGGATTCCAACATCAGCATCCCGTCAGAATCACCAAACAGCTCCATATATTCAACTGTGATTGCTATAAAAACATAGCAATATCAAAGATGTGACAATGTGATCGAAAAATATCGAAAACACAATGAGCTAAGCAGCTATCCACAATGGCTATCTCGGGTAAAACGTGCAACAAAAAGAAATCATCAGCCAATCCCTTGGATCTCCCTTAGCGCCCCATCGCCTTTCACTCTTCAGCAATGGCTCCTTGCAATGCATGCATTTCGGAGCCCATTGGCGGAGGAAAGCCTCATTGCACTCCTGTAGGGAGAAGCACAAAATTTGCCAACTAATTACAACAATTTAATCTATGTACACCTATCTGCTATCTTCTTAAACAATTTGCCCTGTAATCTCAGGGGTCAATGATATTTTGAAGCATTCCCATAAGCTGTCTGGTGTCTTCTCCGCCCCTGATGTGGCCGCTCTAGTGAAAGGAGCAACCATGCTCCTCCAGCATGTCTCCAATTCCCAGTCCTTTCAGCACTTCAAAGATTTTGCTGTTGGTCAATTTTTTGACTGCCACTCTACTGGCTTCCTTGTAACTCTTCCCCCTGATCCGCTAATTCTATACCCCCCCTCCAAAATTTGGAAATCTCTCGGACGTCCCAAGCCCAGCTTTCGCCTCGTGGACCGAGCCGCCACCATGCGAACCGAAGTGGCCGTCCTGCCAATTTTCAACTACTGAACTATCTATTTGGGGAGGGGGGCTTGGGGGGGCCTTGGGGGGGGCTTGGGGGGGCTTGGGTCTTCATGAACCAACTCTTGACCAAACTTTGGAGTTTTGGGGGGCTGCAAGGCTGCTTTGCCCTGCTGGACATGTCCTGGTATTTAAAATGCCGCCCACTGAAGCCATCCATCTTCAGAATTGGCCTTGGCAGCGAAAGGTGAGTTGGTACGCTTTGCAGGGGCACGAGAACACAATCAATATGATTGGATGATATTGGATGTTCCAAGCCTCTAAGTGGTTTGAATGGCTCTCATGAAACAATACACAACCAAACAGCATCAAATCAAAACAGCGGAAATCATCTGTGATCATGCTGAGACGTGGGCTTGCGGCAGTGAAGGCATGACCTGAAAATGGGGCGTGTGCCCAGCAGATGCGTTGCCCGTGGGCCCCCAGGACACAGGAAACGTTGGCCCCGACGCTGCGAAACGACGCTGGAACGCTTCGTGGCATTCCAAGTGGACGCGTCCTAAACGGAAGGTAGTGGGAACGAAGGAAGTCAGTGGAATGCCGATGGAAACATCAATCCGCCGAAAATAGGAGAACAAGCCGAACTGATAACTACTGTAATATATGACAATATTTATTATGATCTATATATATTATATATAATGTAATGTGTCACACAATCTCATATCCTTTGAGTCTGCCAGATGTGGTGGAAGCAAGGCAGCAGGTTGTTGCACCTAGTGTCTCAACATCTAACCCTTCAACACCAAAGCCCATAGGAATTCGATCCATACTGGCAAACATCCATCTGCACAAAGGTATGCAAAGGCAAACGGGTGATAATATAGAGCTGTCGAACGAATTATAGAACAACGCAAGGATGACAAAAGGAAGGTAAATTAACCGTACTTTTGTCATGCTCATTTTGAAGCTCGTCGTCCAAACTTTGGACTGTTGTGTGGTTGATTTGTCTGTCATGATGTCTACTATCGACGGCTTGTTGCCACTAGTACATTGTCATTGTGGGAGTTTTTGGGTACATACGTATAAGTTCATTTCCTGTAGGTTTTCTTGCAGTGACCCGGACAAATGATTATAGAAGAGGCAATTTTAGAACACCGTGCATAAATATCAGAAATATGGGGGGAAACACCAATTATGGAACAAACAGGGGCCACAACAAGAATTATAGAACAACATAGAACAACTATAGAAAACGATGAAGGCTCATTTGAACTGTTTTCCAAATTTTTGGGGAGCTAGGAATTTTAGAAACAAAATGGTACGGTAACCTTCCGTACCTTCTTCATCCTACATTTCCGTTCTATAAACTGTCAACGGCCATCTATCTTGACAGTTTGGCAAAGAACTCATTGAACTATTAAACAAACCAGTACAGTAGACCCAACTGATGTACCACATGTACATACAAAATCATACAAGTACCGTGTATCCCATGTAGGCTCCTGCAGTATGGTCACCCAGCTGCCCAGCCGTGAACTCGAAGAATTGACCTGCCGTGACCCACACTTGGTGTACCCTTTGGGAGCCTGGCAGCCGGCTGTGTGTCTGCAACATCTTCCTGCAAGGTGCTCGACTCTCAACACATCAACAAGCACCAGCAGAAGCGCCTGGGATTGCACACCCCCAAATACCACCACTACCCACAGGATCCATGTATGCTATATATGGTAACATTTACCATCAATATACCCCAAATGTTAGCATATATACCATACATGGATCCTATGGGCTATGACTCCCTTAAATTCATCCTCTGCAGCCTCCATAGCCGTTGATGCGTGCAACGGGCTCGCTGCATGACAGGCATCTGGAAGCTGTGCGCCTCGATCCGGGCCGGCCAAGGTGGGCATTGATCATTCATCTATAGTAATTAATCTATATAATATATCAAAAAAAATAAAACATTTTAAAACATGATACCTTGATGATATTTACGTGGAAAAAACACAATGATCACCAAGTCATGGATAAACGTTGATAAATGATACTAGTATTTGATATTTTATGAACATGACATGGAGATATATGATATATGGAGTTGGAATGAGTTAGAGCTATTTGAACCACAACCCAGGCAAGATGGATCGATCTTGGACTCCAAACATGACATACTTCAGGTAGCACTCCTGCAGAGGTCGAGAACAAGTTGGAAGCATCCCACTATCCCAACAAGTTGGATACCGCATGGAGTTGCAGAAATCCCATAGAAGCACCATCCTAAACCAACAAATTCTCATAGATTTTTAGTATGATGGTATATTATGATATATATATAGTATAACTCATAGTATAACTATAATAAACCAATGTTTCTCTCTCTCTCTCTCTCTCTCCGTCTGTGATTTGAAACTTGTCGTCTCGCGCCTCGTGGACAGCCTGCCGCTCCACCTTCCGGTACGCTCCACTGAAACGGCCTGGCCTGTGGCTGTTGTGGCTGTTGGCTTCAACTCGGTGAAAATCTTACTTTATGACAACTTATGGATGGTCATGGTTCCATGGCTTTGAAGCCATCTGAACATTCACATTGACAAAGCCGGGCGCTAAGCCGGCAGCAGTTGGGTGCCAACAGGGGCACCAACTGCTGCTGCTGAGAAACATGCTGGCACGGTGAATGGACCGCTTCTGGTGGCTGAGTCTTCTACAGGCCCAACACGGACAAATATGCTAAAGGCAATTAGGGCCCACGTGTCCATGGATGAAAAAGTGTATGCTGCCTCAATATCTTATTGAGCCATTCAGCTCTCGGTACACAGATTTCATGGCTTTGGATCAACTTTTTCAATCACCGAAAAAACGTCACAGCAGAATCCATGCTGCCACCACCCTTGAGGTTTGCAGCAAGGTGCCAAACTAGAATATGCCAATACCATCTGAGCTGTGGCCGGTATCATTCCTGTATACTAACATAATCTAACATACGTTTTCCGCGAACACTTCCCCGCGCTACTTCCACGGTCACAGTTTCAGGGATTCTCCCTCTGCCTCTCTCTTACACGCTTCGAAACTAACCCCAAAATCATTCAACAAAGTCAAAATCCAAACGGACACTCATCTTCTTGATCAGATTATGGGGGTTCCATACCAATTTTCAAAAGGGACTCCAGTTCGAACCTTTTTGCACCTCGATGACTGCAACTACCAGCCGAAGACTAAAATGAGCTCAACAACGGTCCATGTGACATGACATCTCAAATCTACATAAACATAATCAATCACAAACATAATGATCACACCATAGGAATAATATAAACAATAACAATGCACAATAACATAACAATAATAATCATCATCACCACCATCGTCACCATCACCACCATATATCAACACCCATATTTCTATACATTTTGATCCATTTTGGTGGTTCCTCCCCGTTCCCGTGCCAGGGTGCATGGATCGGTGGCGGCCTGCCAGCTGTAGCTGGCCGAGAAGGCCATGAGCGGATCCAGCCAGGACACCAGGGTCACTTGGCGTTGGCCAGGCACGAGCTCCACATGCTGGATGTGTTCTGCAGGGCCACCTTTGGCTTCGATGCCCTCTGCAGGGAAGTTTGGTTGCAAATGGGCATTCCTTAGGATACACCAAGAACTGATTCCAGAGAGGCTGACTCTTGGTGCCTTTTTTTGTTACCGACTCTTGGTGCTGACTGGCTGAAGGAATGCAAGGTGGTGTGCCCATGAGTCTCACACGACCCTTCAAAGTCTGCCATTAGAGCAACGCAAAACTGCAAAGCTCAGCACATTTGCGGAGCAAATGTCACAAAGTCTTGTGGTTTCAATTTCCCTGGTCAACTGTCAACTGTCCCTCGAATCATACATTTTCTATATAGGCGCCAAATCATCAATAGAATCCAAGAAGCCTATTCACCTGTTAATGGCATACACTAACCAACTTCTCAAAGTGGCTGATTTAACCCTGGTGATAAAATCCACCAGTTGAAACATCCCCCCTGGTCCGGTCGGTCTTGGCAGGTAGGGTTGGAACCAACATTTTAGCCACATATTAGCCATGAATACACTAGCAATTTCTATTTCTCCGTATCATACATGGCATTTATATTCATGTGGCAATCCAAATGGTAAACCATCCCTTTTACAAACCATTTGAGTCAGAGGGTCATTACGCATACCATGCTATACTCAATATTTCATGAAGCTCTAGTGGGGATGGTGGGCGTGGCATTGGATTTGCCAAAAAACATATTACAGTAACCATTAACCATTGTCAACCATTCTATTCCCGATTCTCAATGTATTCCCATTCAATCAATTTAAATCACCATTGGGACCGTAAGCGGCTTACCTATGGTTTACCACAGCCAATACACTCAATACACCCTGGCACCACCTGGCCATGGCGAAACAAATTCGGCCCAGGGCACTGCAAGCGCCAGTGGATGGACGCCAACAGCCCCGCTGGTTGCGCTGTCGTCGCATCGAAGACCAGCACGATGGTGCCCGAGTCACGATCGCTCCAGCAGCGCAGTTGGACACCTGGTGAAGTTGGTTAAGGTATGGTAAGGTGATGGTAATTACGGTAAGGTGAGATATCCATCTTAACCTTAGCCTATTATAGGTCCTATTAGGCAATCGAATGCATGTGTCTTCTTTATGCGCTGATTGATATCATGATACATCATGTGATATACAGTAGGTGGTTTAATTTTTAAACAGGCTTTTAGATGTTTCATGATATGCGCGTTCCTAGTACCTGTTTTGAAGCTTGAATTCAAGTGGGAGCCACAAAAGCACGCAGTTTGGGGATGTTTTGCGAGGGGTGAGTCACGGGGCTTTCAAAGTGGTAGCACCCCCCCAGCAAACTCATAGTTTCATCACAATTGTGGGTTTGACTGAAAACAGGGTAAAATCCAATGGAGCTTACCCCATTCTGCAGATCCATATTTCCATGATTCATTCACGAAATCCACCGATATACTTTTATAATTTCAATCTTTTCAAGTTTGTTGTCAAATCCCAATGTCTCATGATTAAACCATATATAAACCATGATTAAACTCGACTCTCGCATGAACTCAGAGGTCCATAATGACACAGCCCCGGACTCTGGTGGTGGGGTCAGAAACCATGATTAAACCATGATCAAACCATCTTAACCCCCTTTAGGATCTCCAACCGGCGAGATCGAGCACCTCCTTGCTCCTTGAGGCAGGCGCCCCGTGGGCCCATGGCCGCGGCCTCGTAGGCTTCGCGCATGGAGCTGATGGCGATGGCGCTGTCCCGTAAGGGATCCAGCTGTAAGCGCTGGGGCGCATAGACCTGGGGAAAGTCATGGAAAGTCATGGAAAAATTGCAGCGAATGATGGGTCACTATAATATGTCATTATGAAACTCCGGGAAAAGAAAAACATGCTTTTAAGCTACAAGGACCGAAGGGAGGATTGGATGATGGTTGTCACATCCCGGGAGCGGTCGAAGCTGCTTGGGCTTGGAAGATGGGCCGCAGTTTGGGGACTTGACGTTCACCAGCTATCACCAGCTAAGCAAGGTAGTAATAACAATGTCATCACCACGCTATGCAACCAGAAAGAATCGGGTGACGTATGCATATCGTCTTTACATGTCTTTAGACTGCCAAACATCTGACTGAAGTAAGCGATCATATATAATAGGAATTGATGGGACCAGTTCAAGAGTGGTTACTGCATGCAACATGCAAGTTGAATAAAACATAGTAAAACCTATGGACCATATAAATAACTAAAACATATTAAAACTAACATAGGTCATCAGTGAAATAAAATGAAATTACATGAAATTACAATAGCTGGGGACTTCCTGACGACAACCGTGACATCGAAAGGGAATGGTTTTGAAAATCCAATCAGAAAGAAAGAGCGATCAAACATGAAAGATCATGAAAGTATGGGTAATTCTGAGGTAACCTTTAGCAACTGGGATATCAGTCGATATCAGTGCTATTCAGCTCAGCCACCTAGGTGGAATATGGTGGAATCCCAGCCACCAAGAATGGCTGAAGAGCATGGTCTCAACATGGAGAGGAAAAGGAGATTCACCCCTGAAATGATCTGAAGATGGTGACCTCTATCTGCGAGGGCGTCCTCCTACATCTTCACCTTTTTTTCGACCAGTTCGATCCTCTGGTTGGTGGGCTCAACGTCCCTTGGACCCTTTTCGGCATTGGGGATCATCCCAAAAATGGTTGAACATAAAACAGTAATAAAACATAATTAGTTGAATTATGAATTATGTTGAAAGCGCCAGCCAGTCTTCTACGAAGTCATTCAAAACCAATATCTCAAGCCTCCTCCCCCACCTTCATCCCAATTGGAGGATCATTCAACACAGAAACTCGCAACTGCTTAAGTAAAGTCCCCGATTTTGGGCTTGTCCCATATGTATCCATACACCAAGACCCGCTTCAACCATGAAAAACGAAGGTTATTTTCCATGACGTGAATTCTTAAGGTTGTCACTTTAAAAACCCGGTTTCACTATATTGTGTAAACACGTGTGTAAAGTAGCCTCGCTTACCCCAGGCAGTTGCCACCAACATCACCAACACAGTCGAGGAGCCCGCAGGGTACACTGACACTTCCAGCTCTGCAAGGGCGTGGCCTGCAACCAATGCACCACTGCCATGTAGCCGACACCTGCGGGGCAAAGAATAAGTTCTGGGTTCATAGGAGATACCCTCCGGTAATGACTAACAGTTTGCTATTGAAAATGGCCATTGAAATAGTGGATTTTCCCATGAAAAATGGTGGATCTTTCAATAGCTATGTTAGTTTACCAGAGGGTATATGCCATAGATATTCGATCAATTTGGATGAATTTGGATGAATTGCGAAAATTACTGCATCAGTTGAACGGATCAACATATTGCACCTGGGAGACCATTCATTGAATATACAATTGGATCTTTCGTGTCTGATAAATCCCCAACTTTTAGTGAACACCAACATTTTTCTATTGAGTTACGGTGATTTGGGAACCATTTGGGACTGATCCATTCATAGTTGGGGACACCACAAATGACACCATATATCTGGATCCATCCATTTTGGGGAACCCCAAAGAGCACCTGGCTTCATCTTCCCTCGCAGCAACGTCTCGCGTTGCATCGCGAAGCTGGAGGACGCCACGTGTCGCGCACCGCGGGTCGACCTGGTCGTCCACTAGGTCCACACCGATCTGACGAGGTTCTGATCCCACTTCCCGCCCCACTCTTGAAGAGCCCCACTTGATCAACCTTGATATCACTTGGGTATGTATATATATAAATATATATATATATCTCTCTCTCTCTCTCTGGATAGGTTTTCTGGTTTGCATCTTGGATCCAAGGGTTTCGTGTACATGCTAGGGCACCTACACAAAGATGCCCTCCCTTGATCCTTTTTTACGCTCGGTTCCGTGTCAAGGGACATGGGTGTGTAGCTGGCCGAGCTCTCTGGATATATTTCTATCATTTACTATCAATGGATATTACTTGGATACTGTATCACTTGGATATATCCAGATGTAATTCCTATCATTTACTATTCAATGGATATATCATTCCTATCACTTGGATATCTGATATCACTCGTAAATACTTCTAACATACCCTCTGGTAATTTAACGTATAGCTATTGAAAATGACCATTAATAGTGGATTTTCCCATTAAAAATGGTGATTTTCAATAGTTATGTTAAATTACCAGAGGGTATCTGATGTTGGTTTCTGCCGCGCAGAAGATTTCTGTCGCGAACCCTGGTGTTGTGCCTGGACGGTGTGCTCGCCGGTGATGTGAACCTGGTACGCCAGCTGTTTCTTGTTTGGGGCCTACAATGACGGCTATACTGGATCAATGAGTTACCCATAGGATCCATGTATGGTATATATGCTAACATGACTGGGGTATATTGATGGTAAATGTTACCATATATAGCATACATGGATCCTATGAGTTATGAATGTTATACAATCTATATAGTAGGAATTCGATGAATTGTGCATGTCTTGCAAACCTGAACAAGTCGCCCACATAGAAACCAGTCTGAGTCTGTCAGTTCTGGCACGCAGATTCAGCACAACAGACTCCATGCGAAACAGCCCACAGCCTCACATTGGATGAACATGCGAGGAATCGCTAGTGATAAGCAACCATTAAATCAAGCAATTGGTTTATTTGGTTCTATCCAGCGACTACCTACCAACAAACGTGGCAACGGGTCTCATGTTGAGTAACATCATGTGAATTGGTATCATGTGATATCATGACATTCATGTAATATCGCGTGAAAATCGTGTAAATTCATGTCTGGTTGGTGGTTTCAACCCCTCTGAAAAATATTAGTCAGTTGGGATGATTATTCCCAACATATGGAAAAATAAAATTCATGTTCCAAACCACCAACCAGATTAATATCATGTTACATTCATGAAATATCTCCGGAAGTCTTGTCTTTAAATCCCCCAAGTCACCTATCTCCCCAGGATCCGCGGATCCAGTCGATCTCGGCCCCTTGGGCACTCGAAGAGCTCCAGCCGTGCGGCGGAGAACTTCTTCCGCCGGCGGAACGCCTCGTCGGACTCTTGGATTACAGAGATCACCACCTGCCATGGGATGCCATTGGGATGCCAATGGGATGCCCGGGGATGTGGGTGAAATAAACACTTGTGGACCCTGAAGTGAGGGATCAGAATTAATGATCTATATATATTATATATATTGTGGAATACCTGTTACAGAAAACACACTTGTATTGATCGGGGATATATATAATTATTATATATACATGTGTGTGTGCGTGTTAAATTGAGATCTATGTCATCATATTTCATCTATTGGAAGTCCCATTTTCTCATTTTCACATGTCACATCTGCTGGCCTCCACCGGCGTCTGGCTGCTGCCGGGCAGTTCCAAGGTGCAAGCCATCAAGGTTCTGGCCTCGCATGCGGTGATAGCAGCCCGTCAGATAAACCTAGAAAACCAGCAGAGACAACAAAAACATTAAGCATATCAAAAATATCCTTATCCCCAAAAAAACAGATCAAACATCACAAAACAAACAAACAAACAAATTAATGGCACAGTGTCTGGTTCAATTCCAGTGCGTTGTTGCAAGTAGAAAATTCAACTGCTCTCGATCTACCTGCGCACTGTCGGGCTTCAATGGACAAAGACTGGAGACATAGCCCGCACCTGGAACTACACAGCGGCTGCGAAGGTGGGTGTTTCATGTTTGCTGGTGTGCTGCAAAGTCGAAACCTAGAAGTCCAACCATACCGACCATACCACACCCGTTTTTCCCGAGAATTCCAACGACTTGTGAGACTACATGACTGATTACATTTATATATACCTCCATGGGCGGTGTTCAATTGTTTTTGATTGTTTTTGGCACGTTGTCTTCCACAAATCGATACGAGTACCTCCATATAGGGCCGAGCTGCAATAGTCTGAAACCTGGACGGTGGCAAATTCTTCACAGAAATCTGCCTGGCGTCCCAAACGGGAGGCTGTCATGTCATGGACAAAAAAAACGAATGCAACCTGGATCAGGCATCATACCCGGACATGTCCAACATCCCAATGATCCAATGACAATCACAAATCTGTATCGTACCAGCTGCCATATTATGGACATCTCTTACCTATATTGTCAGTGGAAAATCATCTTCCACCTTTACGGCACCCCGCCATCGCATTCCCTGGCGATCCCTGCCATTTAGTTCGCCATGCCAGGAACACGAAGCGCATCCAAAAGGTTCCAGCGTCTTCCTCCAGGACCAATCCTTCTGGGCCTTCCTGAAGAAGCATTTCTGTGTGGAAATCTCCAAGATGTTTCGCTAGGAATGATGACCATTGTGTTGATTTATAGAGACTAACCCATAGGATCCATGTATGGTATATATGCTAACATTTGGGGTATATTGATGGTAAATGTTACCATATATAGCATACATGGATCCTATGGGTAATAAAAGGTAGGCTCCCAACAAGTGACAAGTTCAATAGAGCTTCTCTTGCCCATAGTATAATATGTATAATTGCGAACAGGATTTGAACGTTGAATAACGGGGCATACGGAGTTGATATTTCCACTATATACATAGGTGTTATTATTGAACAAAGTGAACGAAACGAACACAAACGTGATGGTACCAGGTTTTCCTATTTTTTTTGTTTGGCTAGTCCATCGAACTGGCAATTCAATCGCTTCAGTGGACGGGCTTTCATTTCAATAATTCTCATATATTGTCATGATTACTGTTTATAAAAGAATATACGTATACACAAACACACACACACATATATATATAATATTACGCATGCTTGCAAATGTTCAATGGTTTTATGTGGTTTCGGCTTGATTTTGTGCTGGATTCCAGCCACTCCCTGGCCTGATGGTCCTGGTCCACCTGCTTCGGCTGCCGCTGCTTCTGAAGGATGCCGCAGTTGACCATGGCCCCGCTGAAGGGTAAGAGACCTGTTTTTTGCCTCAGAAGCATAGTCGGTCTTAGACGGTGTACGATATGGTGATGATGGTGATGATGGTGCATGGAATCTTAGTGGGATCGAATGGGGTTGATGGCTTTAGTTTGTGACAAGGCACTATGACAAAGTGTATGGCATGATTGGCATGGAATTTTCATAACATTTCCAAGCCTGTGTTTCTGCAACAGCACAAGCTGCATGAAGTTGGGCGCCCCAACCCTGGACCTTTCCATCTGCCAGTCCTGAGCCATAGACCATGGGTGGTGATCAGGCACAGCTGAAGGCTGGTATCATGATGCCAGCATCATGTCACCCACATGCTTGCCATGCCCTCCTTTTATGAAACATGCCAATGGGTCATTCAGTCAATTGAGTCAGTGGGTTTTGAGTCATTGTTGACACAGAGGTATTAGACCATAGTTGTAGGTCATCAACATTCATTAACTATGGTTGATACTCCTTAATGGATCTCAATGGTTAGTTAATATATATATATATATAAACATGTTAATATGACATTATTGTTTTGCCTGAGGCCGACTTAGGAACTTCTGCCCCAACGAGTCTGGGTTCCCCACCCCCAGGGGTTGCGAAGGCGAATCCAACGCCTTAGACAACGGTAGGCTGGGGATGGCTGGGGGGGAAGGCTTGGCATTTCCAGAAGTGACCAGTGAGGTTTACCCTAATGAACAAACAGAATCTTGATGAACTCTCATGAATATGATGATGATGATGATGATGATGATGATGATGACAGTTTGCAGCTAATGGCTGTTACCCAGGAGAGAAGCACACCACACCTTCGAAATGGCCGTTAATGGCTGTTGGGTGTATACGGTGTATATATATATATATACACATATATATATAATATAATATAATATAATATAATATATATTATATACCAGTGATGGTTATACGGTTTCTTAATTAATGTGTCGTTTCAGCCGCGCCAAGCGCTGCACTCTTTCCGAAACCAACTCGTTCCTCCGTTGGCCGGGGCCTGATCTTTGAGTAGTGGCAGGTGAGTCCCAGAAAAAACATGTATACTGTATGTACCCTCTGGTTATTTAACATAGCCATGGTATAGATGCCCCATTTATAGATGGTTTACCTATAAAAAATGGGTGGATTTTCCATGGCTATGTTAAATAACCAGATGGTATATGTAATGTAGATTTTAGCATCACGCACATGTTTTTTTTTTAAACTTCAACCATCAGTCAAGATCATGAAGTTTCTGCGCTCAATAGCACTTTACTCTTCACGACCTAGCCCAAAGCTTTTTGCACCGCCTGCCTCTACTGCGGCCAAAATGGAATAGCCTCAGTGACAGGTTATCGCCCTTTTTTAATGGGGTGCTTCCAAGTCGGACCTGCCTTTCAGTGGAGGCTGGATGATGTATACTTCAACAGGCCGACAACAAGGACCTGTTCAGGTATATATTGATCCTTAAAATCTCCTGCTGGCAATGTCAACCCAGAATTTTTATAGTGGTAACCAGTGGTTGATAAATTCGGGTGGGACATGAAAAATGGTAGGGTCTATCTACTTCTGAAGATGCTCCGTCTAAAAAACTCGGAGTCTGTGATCTGCCTTGTCTGAAATGGTGTCCCCATATGTTCTCCTTGTGATCTCTCAGAGATTCATCTGTTGAATCAAACCTTGCAAAGGAAATCCGGCTTCCATTGCCAAGTTTGATTGCTGGAGTTTTTTCCCCATTCTTGCAGCTTAAGACTCCTATATTTCCTGGTTCAATGCACCATTTTTGCTGGTTCAAACCCTTTGTTGTTGGCAAAAGCCCACTGAATTCCCATTTCCATTGCAGGGGTTTCCCAAATACTAAAAAAAACATTCTTGCTGGTTCAAGTCCCATTGAACGTCCAAAAAAATCCATAAAAATCGAATTTTCCCGTTAGTTTTCCCTAAAAAAACCCTCTCCGTGGCTCCAGCCGGGGGTTCCAGCCGCTGGGGTTCCCGTGCTATGTGCTCCAACGAGGCCGGTCTGTTCATCCACCGGGTTCTCCTGGTCGCTCTCGCTGTCCACCTGGACCTCCGGAAAAAAATGGAAGGGGTGGATTCTCATGGAGGATCACGAGCAAAAACATGGATTTCATTCATGAATCACACGCATGCACACACACACACATATATATATATATATCTATCTATGAATCATACATATAAATAAATAAATATATATATATGTGTGTTTTTGAGATAATATTTGTGTTATAAGTTATATGTAATTGATTTTTTACATATGATCATATGATTTGGCTAAACATAGCCGGGGTTTCCAACCAAGATCTCCTCTAATGGCCCGAAAAAAAAAGAAACATCAACTAAATTTTTGTTGGATCGAATCCGTTGTGCCCGGATTCCAAAATCCAACTGTTGATCATCATGTGTTCCTTTAAACGATGTGACTAGTGTTCTCAGTGCATTGACCTATCAAATTTCACTCCAAAAACGGCCACAGCCTGTGGATCATCCACAAGCTGTTCATCTGTAATCATCTGATATTTCATGTGGCTAAAAAACACAATGCCATTTGCACCATCCCTCAATTTTTAGCAAACTAACAATTCAACAATATCCACCACTCATCAGCATCTTTATAATTTTTTTATACATGATGTGGATTGATGTGGTATGTTTACCGTTCCCAGTCATGGTTAGCCCTTTTCTTGTGCAACTGGGAAGTCTCGGATGGTCTGGGAGCTCGGGGGGTCATGACATGTCATGACCTCCAGCGGTGAAGACATTCCAAAGAGCTTGGCAAAGAAACCTGCCGTTCCGCGGATGTGGGGCCTATCACAGCCATATCACATGGGTCTCTTGGAAAAAATATGAAAAACTGACTTTCTGTTTGGATCCATTTGTTAACTTTGATGGTGGATGATGGTGGTCTGTTCAAATCTCCTTGGTGTGTGTCAAACTCTGATGAAAATCTTATACTCTGACCTCCTTTTCAACGGATTTTGACTGTCTTTGACGAGTTAACCAATTAAACGGACACAGTTAGATCAGAGTTACCGGTAAGCCATCATTTCTTGTGGGTCCCTAATCACCCTACCCATGCGCAAAGGAGTCACCATGGTGTCAGCCGAAACCACTGAGATCTGCACCATCCGCAGGTGGGGGTGGTTTCTTCTTCCCCTGGCAGCTTGCCTGGGTTCCCGTGCCATGCTAGGCTCGTGGGGTTGGCACCATGCCCTTGAGATGCCAACGCACATAGGTTGGCGGTGCTTGGTGGCTTTGTCCAACGCCATCCAAACATTCTCTTGCGTGTCCCGTTCAGGGCCTGCGTGGCATGTTCGACTTTGAAACACTCGTTGGCATGTGAGTAGTGCCGTTCCAACATCATCTCCATATATCTCCATAGTTCGGGCATCATTTCGAGCAAGGAAGCCCTGGCATGTAAACAAATACTGTAGCTTGCTGAAAGCTTCTGCTTACCCTCTGGTAAACTAACATAGCTATGGAAAATCCACCATGTTTAATGGTTAAAATCCACTATAAATTGCCATTTTCAATAGCTATTTTGACACAACCAGAGGGTAACCCTAGCACCCTAGCACCGTTGCACCCAACATCTGCAGCTGCATCTTTTGGCCACGCCGGGCGACAATAGTCGAGGCCTGAGTTCCACCATGTTCCACCACCCAGTCCATACCCATCCTGGTTGGTAAACAGCTTACCCTCTGGTTGTGTCAAAATAGCTATTGAAAATGGCCATAGAAATAATGGATTTTCCCATTCAAAATGGTGGATTTTTCCATTGCTATGTAAACGTTTACCAGAGGGTACCGAACATCAATGAAACCATGCAGTCTGCTTCCAGTAAAATGCTATACTTCATGTTGTCGTAGGACCTGTAGGATGTGTAGATTGACAAGACTGGCCGAAAGGGCACTTTTTTTGGTAAAAGTCCAAGATTCCGCCCAGCATTGCTTTGTAGCCATCACACGCTCACTGAACTCTTGGTAAAATTCCAGCGGCAGCTTGAAGTGTCCTGCAGGATCATCTGATGGGACTCCGAAAGCTAGATGGGTGCGCTTAAAAAAAAACATCTAGCTTATAGTGCTCATCCCATATCATCTATTGGATAATCACCAATATTGTATATGGGATAATCACCAATATTATATATGGATATATATGGGATAATTGATTACAACCCCATATTATCCCATATCCAATGGTGATTGTCCATGACTATCACAGCTTGATGGCGACTCAAATCCAGGCCAGGACTCGGTCGTAGGTCAGTAGGCCATTCACCTCCGTTTCGACATCCATCCATTGTGTGTAGATCGCTGCGCTCACGCCACCCTCACCTTGGAGAAACCTCTATCTCTCTCGCTCTCTCTCTCTGAGCTGATATTTTATCATTTATTGTATATATATATAAATTGTGTAGTATTTTCTAATATTAGCACCTGTAACTTTTCTTAGAACTGATTTGATTATATATATACTTGATTCATAACTTTCGCCCAATTTCAGTGGTCCCAATTTCATACCTGGCGTGATCTTACCATATCTGAACTGTTCTGGAAAAGACTTGGGAGTGGAAAGTGAACTCCGACAAAATTACGTTGAATTTCTCTTGAGCATGGTGTTTTAACCGAAAAAACATGGTGTTTAAACGAAAAAAATGCGTGGTCGTTCTTGGCACAATACTTTCGGCACCGTTTCACAACCTCGCTGAATGTGACCGTGGCACAAATCGCCGCAAGCAATCTACCTAACAGCTTTTCCAAGTTTTCCGCAAACACCGCCTTGGACGCCGGAGCTTCAGGATCAATGTCTCTGTAGCCATTCGTTTTTCTTCTGTGGTATGACAGGTTTAAGAGCTCCACAGTGACTCCACAAGTCCACAAAATTGATCATGCTGAAGTTTAGTACGAATCATTGGGTCAATGCTAACAATGCAAACATCTTTCTTGGGTCCAATTGGGACCAAAGATCTGAAAATCCACAAACTTCGTCTGGATCCCAATGATTCACCAATAAAAACGATGAAACCCTCAAACCGCCATGTTTGAGATGGAAATCTTCAGTATCACTCTTCAACACATTTAGTTAATTTTAACATACCGTATTTTGTTGGATAATTTTGTTGAAACAAAAAAACATCAAAACACGCTGTTAGCACAGTGACTGGATCTCGGTTCACCTCCTTTTCGCCATAGCCCCATGCAGTGGAAGACCATTGGTGTCCCTCCACGGCATAGCCCAAGCCACCGTACTCACCAAGAACGGGCACACGGCCTGTGGGGAGTACTGTGACAGGGCGTGCCAAATCATGAGATTTTCATCGGAGTCGTGACGGTTTCGATTTGGAAACATACTGTTGATCATAGTTGATCGATGTTGATTCTGATCCGTCTTCAAAATGAATGCTTTCTTTAACAGAAACAATTTTCATGGTCCAATGGTGACGGTTTCGAATGAGTTACTGTTTGAGAGTTCAGTCGTCAGGGTGGCACAGGTCTTCGCAAATGTGCATGTTTTTGTCATGTCGAGGTAAAGGAATGCTCTATGCAGCGAAGATGACTTGCTAGTGAATCAGGCCTTTTACGGATTTCTTCAGGATTCTCATCAATTTATCGATTTTCATTCCAAACCTAAGCTGCTAGAAGCTCTAACACACCGTGGAGTGCATTTTTCTAGGCAAACCCAACTGCATCCTGGCCGAGATCTGGAGCAACAGTGCGTCACTAGTTGTTGGCGACTCATGGCGACTAGAAAGAGGAAACACCGGGCTGACTCCGCTAAAACTGCTGACTCTTAGTCAACCTTAGTCAACATTATCCTCTGGTAATTTAACATAGCTATTGAACATGGTGATTTATAGTGGATTTTCCCATTAAAAATGGTGATTTTCCATAGTTATGTTAGTTTACCAGAGGGTAGCCATCACACTAACACGGAGCAGTCACTTTTCTTGGTAACGTTGTCTATCATGTCTATCTAAAAAGCTGGCATGTCGCGTTCAAAAGGTGGACAAGCCGTGCTAAGTTGCGCAATCCTGAGAGGTGCCACGGTTCATGATTTCCCGTGCAGCATGGCTTGTTTGGGGTAGAGAAAGCTGCTTCTTTTGGAATCCAAAACAGCAGCGGTCAGTGGTCACCCTTGGGTGAAAAGTGCTTGATTGTGAGATTTATGATGATTTATGGCACACTTCCAAACAAAATGCAGAACGCCTGTAATATTTTAAAACAACATGTGGACACACCTCAAAACAGAATTCCCCGAAACCTCGAGAAACCATCTCCAAGACACCACGTCTTTTCATCATAAATCCACATCCACCTATTTCCAGCACGGAAGGATGGAATGTGGGGCACAGAATTTGCACTACGAATGTCTATTGTCTATCATTTCTGATTGTGAAAGGGTTCTTCATGGTTCTTCCCATTGCCATGGAATGGCAAAGGAAGCCTTCACCAATTTGTTGGTTAGGTAGTCAGATCCTGAACTACTCACACATACCCACACCTGACAGTCAGCCAGTATACCCCCACACATTGGCTATTCTTTTGGGAGGCTACCTACGGCTAGCTCATAACACATCATAACACTATAAATCTGTGATTATCGAATCTAAGTACTAGATTCGTTGGTATCAACATGCTGTATTATGTTGTCTTGAATTAATACGATCAATCATGCTTCACATTTTTTCCACTCAAGTCGTTCCATTTGCATAGTATATATATATATATCATTAAATATCATGAAATATCATCCATCCCCAGGCGTTCTTCAACCCGAGATCATCAGAGATCCCGCCTGCCCATCTGCCATCCCCTTCAGCCGGAAGTTCTGGATCTCCAGCCGTGCCGCTTTGGTGGTGACGCCATCGCTGCGCAGCGCACCACGGGAGTCGTGGCGCAGCAAACGGCTCAGACCCTGGCGCTGGAGCCAAGCAGACCAAGCCTGGCGCAATGGGATGGTGCCCGTACTGTGAATTTCTGCATGTCTATGCCCTGGAGAACATCATAGTTCAATATATGTATATATATATATATTTGATCAATTGTTGAATGTTCAATTTGATGTTAACATATGTTAACATTAATATACATTAATCTTATACGGGGTGCCAATTCAGTATGTGATAATGTGCAGCAGTTTTAGAGCGGTCTAGCTTTTGTGCATAGGGCCTCAGGCTTTAAAATGTATACAAAAACAATGAGAACTGGTTCTGCTATAAAATGCGTTTCCAGCAAATTCACGCCGAATTGGCATCCAAGTTCATCCAAATTCGAAGACCCTCAGAAACGCTTCTTCAAAAAGGGGTCAGGAAATTCTTTTAAGGTAGGGGTATTTTAGAGTGAAGGTGCCCACACATTTAGAGTTTTTCTTCTTTTATAGCATTCTATAGCAACAAAATACGGTGGCATTCTCATGTACCTTTTGTAGCATGGCCACATTCCAAGTTAGCAATTCGTGCCAAGAGAGGTCTCTCGCTGATCTAAAATGACATGCCCAATAAAATCGATACAAAGAGATCCTGGAAAAACACTGGTTCAATCCTGCAATAAAATGCTCCAAACACTCATTTTTTGCAATAAAGTTAGAAAGGAAATTTAACATGTTAAAAATCATCAGGATTTACCTTGCCAAAAAAATGCTCAGACCATCTCAGACCAACTCCTTAACAATAAAATGATTAACCTGACTCCAACTTTGAAATTCCGAAACCATTACGGATCTCGCTTAGACTATGCACAAGTCATCCATTTCTAGTGTGGAAAGTGCCACGGGGATAATCTTATAATCTTACCCTCTGGTAAATTAACATAGCTATGGAAAATCACCATTAATAATGGGAAAACTCACTATAAATCACCATTTTCAATAGCTATGTTAGTTTACCAGAGGGTATCAACCTTTCTTTTCGAAGAACATCATCTTCCACAATGACATTCCCCAATACTCGCCTCTGTGGCTTGATCCTCCTTATTGGGCACAAACTCCTCCTTGCCGCACGACGACAGGGATGTTCTACTTCAGGGAAACGTGATGTAGCAGAGTTGCAATCATGGCATACAAAAGCATTGAAGACCTCTCTGAATTCCACACAAGTTGAGGGCTTGCTTTGGCCTGGTAGAATCTGGATAATCTGGTAGCTTGTTGGTGTCTCACTCAAGCCTGTTTTTTTTTTCTAGCCAGCAACTTCCACAGAAGGCACTACCAACCCGACTCAAAATGCCATCATCTATCCTCTGGTAAATTAACAGAACGAACTGGAAAGATCCACCATGTTCAATGGGTAAATCCCATGGTAAATCCACTATTTCGACTGGGCCATGGCTTCAAGTTCGCAAACTGTTGACATAACCGGAGGCGATCATCCTCACCTATGGGGCTCCCAAGATCTGTCCTCCACACTACTTGGATCTCTTCCAGCCAAGGCATCCCGCAGTTTCCTCTCGAAGTCGCTGCTGGACAAATTGAGATCCCCTGTGGCGAGCATGGTCCTGGCGTCTGCATCAACGCTTTTCAGAAACGCTGGCTGCATCATCTGCATCTAATTCCGCAGTGGTATCATGTTGTGTTTATATCCATGGGAATATCATGTCGTATAATGTCGTGTTTCTGTAGAACAATTTCGAAGGGGGATGCTTTTTTGTGTTTTTGTTGCTGTCAAAGTTCTATTTGAAATGTATTGGATTATATAGATTGCAATTGGTTTCTGTTCAACATAGTGCTAGATGTGCCAGCATCCATCAGCCAAACCGCCAACATCCACCAACATCCGCCAACGTGTTGCTTCAACATCACCTAAATACCTAAATCAGACTCAGAAAATGAATGAAAATCCCTCAGCTTCCAATCTTCAGCTTCCATTCCTTGAGTTCAACAAAAGTGCTGCCGGAAATGTTCGCATCGTGGCTCCAATGGTCACTGTGAGCGCACGGCTCCACTGGCGCTGCAGGCTTTGCTTCGTCACTGGCAGCCCGGAGGCCTCCGTGGGAGTCTCCGGCGCCAGGTCTGCCAGGTCTGCTTCGCGGAGGAAGAGGATGCTGTGGGGATAAGATGAGGCCAAACCAAGCAGCAGCAGAAAGGCATCCAGGGCAAAAGCATTGGGCCTGAAGTCTGAAATGCGCTGATTGAACAAATGAGTCTTGGAGTCTTGGATTTGAAATTTTTGGTTGTAAGGGAAAAGGAAAAGCAATGAAGAGGATGTGAGAGATAGATGTCAACAAAAACTCTGCACATTCCTTCTGAAATCTGCACACGCATACAGTAAATGATCATGCCACGTGCCCTTTTCAATTTTCGCAGCCTCCCACCTGAGAAACACATATCGTGGTGACTCCAGCTGTCCCGTGGGCCAACCATTAAGGTCAAATAGCTCTCGGAGGGTCGACACCGTTTCGAGAGCATTCGAACGGAGGTGCAAATGCTGCCCACGGTCCAGTTTTAGAGGCACCACTGCGCGTCGATGTACTGTAGCATGATAGTAGACATGCAGGATCTCATATGCTGCGGAAGCATCCAAAGTTTCCTCACTGAAAAACAGTGCTACAAGTTATTATAGTTTCTGGAGGAAAAAAACAAAGGATTCTACGGATAGTACGTAATATGTACGTATTATCAATGAGTCAAGTGGAGACTGACTGATGGATGGAAAACTCGGTCCAAAATGGTGAAAATACAGGTATGTGATGGTATGTGTATGTGTACATGAAAACTATGCGGCAACTATGCGCAACATTGAGCAACTGGTGACTATAGTGGCTAGATGTGGCTAGACCGATGACAGTTGTCACATCTTCTCATGTTCGAATGGTGGACGCTCTGCAGTTGCCCTGATGGCTTCACGTGTTACAGTGACTAGCCAAAAACTGTTGCGCAAATTAACTATAGAAACAATATGTTCGTGATTCGTGCAAATTTAGTTTTAAAATCTTAAAACACTTTCAGAAACCTTATAGGGCATTTAGAATTCACATCAACAAACATGTCATACTTTGGGACCTGGTAATTTCATGTAATTTCAACATATTCCAACCATGGAGCCGAGCTCTCAGCTGAAAGTAGCATCTCTTTGCAGAGTTCCGGCAGCGCTGTAGTGGCACCTGACCTGACTCCATCCAACCAATGGGGAGAAAAGGAAGCGGCAAAGGCCTGAAGAGACATATAGTCCACCATGGCTGCCTTAGAAGCCCCCATAGTGCCACTGGAATCGGCATATCTGGACGAAGCCGAGACTTTGGCCAGCCACTCCCGCCCCGTCGTCGTGGGGTCCGGCAGTTCTTTGTCCGCGGCAATGACTTCCGCAGCGATGCCGATGGCAGCATCCTTGCCGCCGTAAAACTCCTTGAGGTCTTGCACCAAGCGCCGGTGCTTCACCAAATCCACTGGAAAACCCAGGTCAACCACGTCTTTCAACAGGGCCACGGCCCGCGACCATTCCCCATTCCAAAGAGCTGCATCAATGAGGATATCATAGACCTCTGAAAGTGATCAAACTGTGCAAAATGGGCTTGGCATGCTGTACTAGGTGGCTTAAGGCATTGGCAAATTTATATAAATCAACACCGAAGCTATGCAACCGCAGGGTCCCTGCTGACACAGGGGCGCACATGCTGTGACCTATTGGATTCCAGATTCAACCCTGCGGATTTCTGCACCTACATGGCTGTTGTCCTGACAGTATGTTTCAATATATGTCATTATATTATGATTAAACGACGTGCCAAGGAGAGGAGTACATAATTATTACATATGTGCATGCAAATATGTTAAATATCTGCGCGCTATTATTTTGTATGTTTCTGTGCCATATCTGAAACATGTTCGGACTCTCAGCACAAACAACCCGAAAGTAAAATGCAACGACCAGAAAGCAAAAGTCACATCACGCCTAATGAGTTCAGACGAAACAGTCCTTCTTGCTACAAACCCCTCAAGCAAAGAAAGCACCTTTGGCCACCTAGAGCAACATCCCAGAAATCTACTGCCCATAGATCCTCTTTTTTCCGAACATTTCCAAAGCACCGCCAAGAATATGAAAAAAAGGTCCACAGCCCAATTTTCTGACCAATCCCTATGTTTCTATGTCTTCTCCACTTCAAAATCCAAGTTTCTTCCCCCATTCCATCTCATGGGCACAGCTCAAACGCGTGAGGCAACCATGCAGAACATGTCAAAACACCATGGGCACACGTTTCGCAGGGACCTTTTCAGAATAGCTTGATTTCAGTGCATTCTTGTACACACACAGATATATATATATATGTATATTCTAACCTACTATTGAACAGCCTAGTCGTATGGTCCCAAATCAATGGTTTTCATCCCCTACTACACAATTGTTTTCTGTTGTGCTTAATGTTACAGTAGGGGGAAGGGACTTTCAACCATTCATGGCAATTATTAAGCAGTATTAACATGTATTAACATGTATCAACCACATATTAATCATTGTTAACCATCATGAACGACTATTAGTCATGATGAACCATCATTAACCATCATTTATATAGAGCCTTTACTAAACCATAGTCACCATTACAATCGAATTATGTAGCTGGTTGGTGGTGTCAACCCCTCTGAAAAATATGAAAGTCAGTTGGGATTATTCTTCCCAATATATGGAAAAAAACATGTTCCAAACCACCAATCAAATAATCAGATAGTTATGCCGTGTGGTATTCTTGAACCCTGTCCCCTCCGAAAGACGAGTGGCCTTGGTCCACTGCCGCTGCCTCTGGAGCTGGGATTTCGCCACCTGTCGCGCCACAGATGTGACCGAAACGTTTTGGGCCGCTGCCTGCAGGTTCTTGCGGAAGGAGGTGAAGGCCTCTTGCAACCTGGGGAGATGTGGATTTTAAGGATGATTTTGCTGGCAAAAACAAGAAAAGTACAAGATATGTTTCGGGGATCTTAACATCTTCCAAGCACCAGAATTGGGATATGAGCTCTCCAAAATGAATGGAGTCCCAAAATTGGCAATTCCAATAAGACAAGCATCAATTTTGGGGAGGCTCCATGTTCGTTTCAAGCAGAGGTGTGCCCCCGGCTGTGGCACAGAATTCAGCAACCATCAGCAAGCTAAACTTTGAAGAATGAATTGCATTTTTTTGTAATTTTTGGTGGCTGAACTATCTGTAACTATCTTGCAGCTCAGCTATGTTTCACTTGAGGCATTGGAACCCTTGGTCGTCTCAAAGCGAGACTCTTCTTCCAAGATGCACCAAACTTTGGGGATCTTGTGCGAGCGGCTCGCTTGTCCATGCGATGCCTTTTCATCTTTGATACGGATCGTCCCTTTTTTTTGGGGGGTGATACCCAACCATCCCCAACCACTATCGAAGACAGATTTTGGGTACGCAATTGTTGGACAAGTAGCTCCAAGATCTTGTCATATTGCCCTTCAAAAGCATAGCCCGTCAACAAGATCTGCCAAGATGTCACATCCTGGGATCTGCCACAGGTGAACTATTATTGTAGTACTATGCGAATGTCGGAGACAATAACAGCCTTGAAGATGATACAGGAGTATAGCAAATACATACACACGCATAATATATATACACATAGTGTATACCTGCATCCTCGAAAAAAACACCAATATAAATGCTCATCTGAATGATTTATGATTATGCTTTTTGAGCGGTTTTCCTCCAAATGAGCATAATTGCACCCACCGCCCTTGGCATTTTTCCACTTTGTGCCTTTTGAACCAAAATTCAGAGCGTATTTCCCCGGAAAATAAATGAGTGTAAATACCCGGGAGGTAAGCGTAAAGACTTGTCCGTCAGAACACAAATTCGCTCTTTTAGTTCAAGTAAGCCCAAAAAAGTCAGAATGAGCATAAATCCAAGCGAAAACTGCTTTGAACAGATAAAAACATGTTGCTGCTGAATTATTTACATATTGATATGAATTACAGTGTTACAGTATTATTGTATACGATCAGTATATATAATTCATTATACATATGTGTGCGTGTGCGTGTGTGTGTGAGTGCTCAATCAATACGGTAACATGTGTTCGACAACTGCTGAAACATGAAGAAATGAACACTTCTTGAGTGCATGCATGCCGCTGGCAAGTTTGCGCTAACTCGCCCAAGAATTCATCTCTTCAGTGTAGCAACAAATGTTAAATGAAAACCCCATGTTCGACTCTTGATGGTTTCAACATGTTTCAACATGTTTCAAAGCGCAGCAAAACTGGGGCATGTTGAGGCATGGAGATCACAGATCCAAAAGCACAAATCTCACCAAAGTGGCAGGACCTATGCCAGCTTCTTTCATCCTTTCCATGGTGGTCATGGCAGCAGTCATGCTGCCCCTTTCACAATGAATACCTTAGTTCGAATCGCTATGTCCAGGAATATGATGGAACATGCGGAGCTTTTTTCCCTTGAAAAAATATGAAAAAATCAATGGGAAATAAAAACATATAAAAACTGCAAAGATTTTAACCATGAGGAGGTCGCCAATCATCACATTGAATGCTTCCGTTCCACAGCTCCCCAGGGATACTAAGCGTTCGAAAACACGTATTGCATCTTCGTAATATCCAGATTTGGCGAGGCCCAAAAACACGGTGATGTACTGTTTGGAGCTGGGTCGGACCCCATCCGAGCGCATCTGGGACAAGAGCCTTACACCCAGTTCCACCTGACCAGCGTTCACTGCTGCAAAGAGTAGATAGGTGTAGGTGAATTCATTCCATGCCACTCCCGCTTCGCGCAATCGGTTGGCGACCTGCAGAGCATTGGTGAACTGCCCGGAATCACTGTAAGTCCGTATCAGGGCGTTGTAATTTGAAGTCTCGGGCTGAACGTTCATGTCTTCCATCAATCGGAGGATCTGTCGAACCTCCCCAGTCGCATCCAAATGCCCCCAACAAGCCTGTTGAAGGATAGCAAAAACAATAGCGCTTGGCTGAACAGCGTGTTGCTGCACAACACCAAAAATGGTGAAACAATCTTGTACGCGCCCAAGGCGCCTGTATCCTGCCATCAGTGTGGCGTACAGATATGTGGTCAATGGGTGAAATTGCCTTGAATGCGCAAGCAAATGCATCAAGACCACCCCTCAACCCTGCAACCAATGTCAAGTTTTCTGTGGGGTAGGCAAAGAAAAACGGTACTATCGTTTGTTCCTTCAACATTTCACAAGGCCAAGATACCGTTTTTCAGGGTAGTGTTCGAGGGTTGCCCTCAGTTGCCTTATTAGACGTTCGCCTTGTCTCACATGAGCTTTGGCTATGCCCAAGTTTTTTTCTTGGACGTAGAACATGGCCATGATCAAATGGTGCAACGGATTAGGATTGCCTTTCAAGCGCTGCCGGGCTAAGATCTCGTTTGCTGCACGGGGCCCTTGCTGGGTGGCCATGGGAAGCAAAAGGATGCCGTAGGTGGCTGCAGAGGGTGCCTGAAGCCCGATATATACAGGAAATAAAGTGGAAATAGGATGGAAATAGCATGAATTTGCCATTGCAGTGGGCATGGTGGCTTTGTGGGGTTTCGAGCTATTGTACCAAAAAAAAGTCACGGCAAGAGACCCCAAACAGTGTTGCAAGGAACATGAATAAGAGACAGTGAGATACCAGGTTAGATTTGCAAGTTCCCTTTGCGAAGATGTCTGTAAAAGATGGTGTGTGAGATCTCTGTAAGATGTCTTTTGGCAAGATCTCTTGAAGATCTCCGTGTGCAGGCTCTCTACAAAATAGCTCTCTTGGCAAGATTTATGTAAGAGACCTCTTGGCAAGATCTCAACAAATCTCTATACAATGTCTCTGTACCAGATGTCTATAAGACGTCTCTTGGCAAGATCTTTGCAAAGGAACTCTGGGCAAGATCTCAACAAATCAATGTCCCCAGAAAAAATATATCTCTATAAGAGACAGATCTTCTTGGCAAGATTACAAACTCCCTAGAAAAGTTCTCTTGGCATTTTTTTTGTAAAAGATCTCTATACGGGGTCCCCGTGCAAGATCTTTATAAGAGGTATCCGCAAGAGCTCCGTGCAAGCTCAACAACAACGGGGCCATTTTGCAGCAGTTTTATCGAGGAAACCCTGTCCATCTATGTCAATCTTCCTTTTCGGTCGGAAATTGATTCATCCAAGTTCTGCAAACAAGGTAGACATGGCCAATTTACAATATTCTTGAAAAGACAAAATGTACCCTGACAAATCTCTACAAAATGGGCTTTTGTCTCTTACAGAGTGGTTGCATGGGTTTGGTGCACACAAATGATCATGCCTTTTAAAATAAAAAGGACAAAACCAGCTAAAAAATATTTGTTTTTTCCATGTGGCCACATTTTTCAAATTCATTTGCCACAGAATGAAATCTTTATGGGGGGTCAACCTCTACCATTCTGTGATGGAAATGGCAACGGGGATCTTTTGGACCTCAAAATGTCCCGAAAGTGCCACACCTGCCCCGAAAAATGGACTTAGGTCAAAAAACAAGCACGGCGCGCTAGTAAAATGAGACCTTCGGAAGAGAGGTCTCCGCGCCACCGTTTCGGGCGAGACTTCCTTCGAAAACAGAAGATGAAGGAACTATGTATTGTAATGTTTTTGTGCTGTAATGGTTATCAAAAAGGCCGCACACGTATGAGACCACCTCGAAGGAACACCAAGCCTTAACCCCTACCGGCCCTACCGGAAGACCCCCAAGTGTGGCCACAGTGTTTGGGGAAATACACTGCTGCGTGAACTCTTAGATTGATCCAGGACACCGGCATTTCCGAAGCATCTTCCATTGAAGTCACCAAATCCCAAGCCTCCTCGTAGTGATTGGCCAACACAAAGGCATACACGACCTCATTCCATTCATGGACTTTGGGGCCTTGCGCCCGAAACCACAGCTCCGTTTTCCAAAAGAGCTCCACGGCAAGTTCAGGCGCCACATTCTGCAAACGAAATTCTCTCAGGACGGCCTTCAGGAAAAAAGCCTGATGCTTTAAACATTCAAACGCCAAAGCCTGCACCAATTCCATGGCCGTCTCAGTGTCCTTCAAGGACAATGCAATGCGTGCCACGACGTCAAAGCGCCGGAGACCACATGCCCGACGCATCTTGTCCAACCACGTGGGCTCCACGGGTGAGGCATCCACAGGCGAGGCATCCGAGGTCTCACCCTCCACTGTTTCCATTGCCTCTGCTCGCAGTCGAACCGCAGGGGCCCGAGCCCTGTGTGGCCGGTGCAACCGCAGCTGCCGGCGCGGCACGATGCACAGCAGGGCCAAAGATTGAGGGCATCCCCAGCACCATGGGCTCCATGGGCTCCATGAGGTTACCCACGGTGTGACCCATGGTGTCCTCAGATAGCTGTGGCTGATGTAAGGATGCTTACATGTGGGCGCTTCACATAGAACCGGCCCGCTCCATCGATCCATTCTGATCCGTGAACATGGAGGCCCAAGGCCCGTGGCAAAGGGGGCACGAGGCGACTTTGCTCGTGCGAAAATGCAAATCAACCATAGGAACCGCGGTTTGGGCCCCTCAAAACAAGCAAACACTGCAACCTTGCAACATGTGTCAGAATGCGACCTACCTGGACACATGCATGAAACACAAATGCATATTTTGAAGGAGGCACAAAGACTAGGGAAGGTATGTGACATGCAAACTGCATCATTCATCAAGGTCGGAAATGGATGGAAATGGGATGTGTTGTGACTCCTATCCCCATACGAATCACTATCACCATCCCTCGCCTGAGACGTTGTAGCCCCATGCAGCGTAGCTGGAAAAACTCTGTGGCAATGGGCCGAAAATGGATGAGTTGTCTTCCTGTCAGCGGCAAACGCTTCAACAGTGAAGCATTGCTGGTTCTGTGGCAAAATGCAAAACTGCTGGTTCTGTTGTCTGTTTGCTTGGGAGCCCTGCATTTCATGTGGTTGAGAGGGAGGTTGCAGTCAGCGTTCCGCAGTATTTGCGGCAACCCAAAACTCACATTTTCCTACTCGCTTCAAAACCAATCAATAGAACATAGCAGCATATAATTTATACATACCCAGTAGTATGCCAACGCCAAACTCACGAGCAAAAACCGTCCAAATCCTTCACCTCACTGAAGGGCATGTCTATATAGCATTTAATAATGGTTTTTCCAACATTCACCATATTTCACCATCATTTATGCCGCTTGGAGGCGTAGTTGTGGATATCGATGAAGTGCCCCAAAGCACCCAGGTCATTCCATCCGCTGACAGCCTGCGCTCAACCCTCTGTATCTCAGGGAGGAACCATGGGCGAAAAATGCGGCAAGCCTTCCATGTAGGAAAAATATAACATCAACATCAACCAGATTTTGGGATTGAATCAAATATGTTTTGACAGTATACAATTGCAATATACTCTACCAAATGGAAACATATCGAAGGCTATGGACATGTTTTTCTTGTAATATACCAGTTTCATTCCAATATCTATCCGTTTTTTTTTTTGTGTTTTTTTCAATCATCCTCAAACCAGATTTTCCCATCCCACTCATTCCATTCTTCTGCCATGTCTTGGGGCCCAGTGGCATTAACCAAGCGTTGACCATCCATTCGCTTCACCAAATCCACCGTTTCCTCCAGGCTCAGGCGAGGCTCTGGCGAGGGTAAAGAACGCGGTTATTTACATCATGGCACGAGAAAGAGGTAATATGTCAATAATATGAGAATGGTGGCATGCATGTGCAATTAAATATAAGTATAGATAAACATAGATGATATGTATGTATGTAAGTATATTATGATAAATAATGATAAATATAGATGACATGTATGTGTATATATATATATATATATGCACACATACCTGCCTCTTCCAAAGTGGGCTTGATTTCTGCCTTTGCCCAATAAATAATCAATAAATAGGTTTTGCACAAGAACGACCTTTTTGGACAAACCATCAGAGTTTCTTCTGATATATTGCTGCCAAGCCCGTTTTTCAGCGGCGAAAATGCCCGACCAAACGGCGAAAATATCCGACCACGTGGGCTGACAATTTCTCACAACGGCATCTATTTTCAGGAACGGCGTTTTTCCGTTCCTAAGATGTTTTTGAGCAGCGGCAGAAATAAGTACCATAGGAAGATCCAGGTATACATACCTCTCTCTCTCTCTCTCGTATGCCCTTCTTTACCTACCAATCTCATTCCATGCCCGAAAAAATGGGATTGCTAGTTCTTCTCTGGACCTCAGAAATTCTTGTGTCACGCTTCAGTTCTCAAAATCTCTGCAAACTCGATTGCATATCCACGCCTGTGTGTTGGACTGTCCCCACCCCTCGTTGAAGAGCACCCACACCACCACAGACGCATAGGGAGCAAGATATCTCAGCATTGCCTGCAGGCTTTCTCGCATGATAATCGACTTCTCAAGGGAACAAAAACAATTCATCCAGAAGAAGTCCCACAAATCAGAAATTGCTGCTCTCCAGAATTCAACCCTGCAAGTACTACAAGGCCCAAAAAAAAAAAGTAGCAAGTCCAGGTCTGCCTGATCCGCGGCCCATAGAGGTGATCGAATCCATGGCCCGCAAGCATCGGCTTCTATCGTTCTTGGGCAACTCATCAAATGCGTTTTTTTCTTTTAAAGGATGAACGAAACCGTTTCATGTCATGATGTCATGGCCAAAAACCATGATAACCATGGAAAACCATATGGAAACATCAAGCATGATTTTCTATGCTACCATATGTCGGAAAAAACCTATGGTGTCCCGTAGACTGGCCTTCAACTCCCGTTGGAAGGCTGCCTTACTCTCAGGGCTACGGGTGATCTCATCCAGGGAGCTGCCGGTCCTCGATGATCAATGCTGGTTGGTGTATTGCAAGGTATTGGATCTAGTCACACGGGGGGAGGGCCACATCTGCGGTTTTATGTATATCAGGGGATCGTAGAAATTGGGAGTTTCCAACAAAACAATGTAGTACTCAAATATGCAGCATTCTGCAGCCTAGGGGTTTATAACAGTACTCCAGGGTTGACATTAAGGCCGATGTGATGTAAAGCCACAGGGTGAAACTTTATCGTGTTTGCAATAGTTGTTGCCGTTCAAAATTATGAGTTGCTACTGGCACCTTATTGTTCTTTTCCATGGCTGTATGATCATGCTTGATTCATATTGTGATTGGATTGGTTTAAGGGAAATTTTACAGGAAACCATAGATTTTCCCATTAAATATGGGGCTTTCCTGTAGATTTTCCCTTAAACCAATCCACTGATATTGTGCCCAAACAATCTCAACTGTTTGGCGACCCTGACCCTATCCCATCTCAGCTTGCGCTTGCCATGTCGAGTTTCAATTCTTCGGCGATTGCCCTATCCTCTGCCCACACAGGGAGGGCCCGCATATCGCCGGATGGCATGTCCTGCCATGTTGGTAGGCGGTGGAGGTCCGGTTGGCAATTCTTTTAACATGAAACACTGTTTTTTGTCTATTAAACATGGAGGATAAAGAACTCACCTGCGATTCCCTGATATCTGATGATATGATGATATTATTATGTGCGAAGACACATCATGATTTGAAACTGCCACCTTGTGATTGTCAATGGTCAGACCCCAATATATACTGTACCCCAAGTGGACCTCTATAAAACCCTTCAGCGGCCAGCAAGACCAACAAAGAGAGTTTCGGGTTTACCCCAGGCTCATTCAATCCTCAAAATCAGGGTTATATAATATAAAAGCTGCAAACATTCCTGTCATTCTGCTGTCTTATATTGTCTTATAGTTTGTGGTTTCAAGTCATGATCAATCTCCAACTCTGCAAAGAGATGAGTTGGGCAAGAACTTCTTTTGATACCCTCTGGTAATTTAACATAGCTATTCAAAATGGCCATTTATAGTGGATTTTCCCATTATAGTTATGTTAGTTTACCAGAGGGTATCTTGTAGTCATGAACTATACGACACATGGATTTTTAAACAGTCACCAAGCAGATTTTGGTTATTTTTGGTTGTTGAAGAGTTCCGGGTCCAGGATTTCGCATCCAGTTCCAGGACCCACATCCTGCCACACCATGAGCCCCAGCTGATCACAAAGGCTGTAGAAATTGGCATCCATCACCACAGCATGCACCCGCACGGTATTGAAGCCACAAGCCTAGTGGCCATGGCAGCCATATGGCAGCCATAATATGGCAGCCATATGGCAACCATTAAAAATGCCCATACCATCCCATACCAATGGCCATACCTTATAGAAAAATATACCTTATACACCATGTTCATGGATGGATCATCCAATGGTTTCATGAAAAATCAATGGATGGAAGTCGGCTTGGAGGTTTCCAACATGAAGAAAGTGGGATCTGGAAGACGTTAGCTTCTGAAAATCGTCCCAACATCGAGTTTTCAGATGGAGTCGGGACGGTCGGGCCTTGATGGCACGTAGGTCCCGTTCCACCGCTGCAGCATCGGGTGGAGTAAGCAGAGACTCTGGCCAATAGCCCTGGTGCCAAAAAGGAAGATGCAGCTAGTAACCTATGCCTATGATGAATATCGATAATTAAATTAGATGGGATAAGGTTTGTAATAATATATAAATGTTTTATCATTGATAAATATTATAAATTATAAATGATATGCCTATTGATCACATTTTTTTGGTTTTATAATGTTTTATAATATTATAGACGTGGGATGACATGGGGAAGTGTATAATTTACTGTCACTATGCGATTGTCTGAGTTGTATGTCGCTGGTGTGGGTCTGTACTTTGTGTTCACGAATTCTCCGTTGCACATATTCCACGCATTTCCATGCGTGTAATTTTACGTCAAACTCAAGCATTCAACAGAAACATACACTAAGTCACTAAGTACACACAGATCGGGTGCAACACTTGGTGGTTTCCTGAAATGGGGTTACCCCGGTTGCCCCCGAATCATCCATTAAAAAAAAAAACATTATAATTACCCATAGGATCCATGTATGGTATATATGCTAACATTGGGGGTATATTGATGGTAAATGTTACCATATATAGCATATATGGATCCTATGGGTTACAATTATAAACCATCCATTTCGGGGTACATCATGGGCTGATCATGGGTACCTCCATTTATGATGTGCCACCACTTGGCCGCAGCCGCCTGATACAACACGCCGTGCATGAAGATCGCCTCACGAAGTGTGCGCGGCACGGTGAAGTGTTCAACGCATAGCGTGAACCCATCATACACAGATCCCAAATGAATCCAAAGATACCTTGAAATACGTTTAATTATATATATATATATATACAGTATACAGATACAATTTAAAGATCAATAAAGTATAGTAACAAGTAACAAGTATAGCATCCGGGATCATCCAAAAATACCGTAGTTGTTTTCTGGTTTAGATGTATATAACTCATCCATTGTATTTTCTTGCCTCTCCATTCAGCAGCACTCGGCCCTCCGAGATCTCCAGCTGCCGCCAAGCAAAGGGCCGTCGTTCTGAGGCATCGCCCAGAAACAGCCGCAGCTCGTAAAGATGTGGTGCCTGGCCGAGCTTCCGACGCGGTAGAGATTTCCACACCCAAAAACTGGGCCTTTTTTTGATGACAAGAACTTGCGGTGACATTGCCAGTTTTTTCTTTTTTTTAATGCGGTTCAATTCCCTAAAAAAACGTTTGTTTTTGCCTATCTTATCTGAGCTGTGCTTAACGTAGTCCAATAGTACCAGCACATGGATTGGATTGGCATGACAGGCTTATACTATGGGTTTTAGTAATCGTTGTTATGATCATTATTGTTGGACTTTGTTTTACTGGGCATGGAGACCATTCCCCCGGAAACAAAATCCATCATAATACCCAAAACACCCTATGGGGTAATAAGCCAAGGATTGTTCAACTCTCGTTTCACACTATCAAATCCACCACTGCTAAAACCTTGAAAATGCAAACATGCTGAAATTAGTCAAGGATAGTATGTAGTTGCTCTTAAGATAGTCACTGCACACGGGAGAAGGGTCAGCTGCCCCTCTCCCCTGTGCACTCCGGAGCGCTCAGGAGTGCACACCGCCTCTCCCCACCAAACCTTGGGCCATGGATTCTTGATTGCACAGCCCCTCTTTGATTTTTCTTCAACCGCCCTTAAGATAGTACCAAAGAGGTGGTTTGAAGTCCGGAGCGCTCACGAGTGCACGGGGAGAGGGGCAACTGACCCCTCTCCCGTGTGCAGTGACTATCTTGAGAGAACCAAAACTATTCTAAGTTTAATTGCTCAATTTTTTCGATTGGGCACTTTACTACAAGTGCAGCTAATATCGGAACAAGTTGCCCTCTCATTTTTCACATTTCCCAAGCCACATCTAGGTTTTTTTACATCCAGTTAACATATCTGGCCAGATCAGCTTACTACATAGCATGCTGACAAGGCTGGGATTGTTGTTTTGCTGTTTATGAGTTTATGATGGTTTATGTTTTTTTAACCTTATCAGGGACTATTGGACTATCATAAGTCCACTCCAGTTATTTCCCAGCACTTGGAATTTTGATAAGTAGTTCCAGTAAACTCAAATTCTGGCATTCATCAAGGGAGCAAATGTTGGGCCCTGATTGATTTCCAATAGATGTAGTTATAGAGAGAGAGAGAGAAAGAAAATGAGAGAGAGAGAGAGAGAGAAAATGAAAGAGAGAGAGAGAGAGAAAAAAAAACAAATGCACACAACATCAAACCGCGATTTTCGATTTTGTGTAATGATGTGGAGATTGATCGTGGGTCCGCAAAGAATGAGAACATCCCCTTATAACATCCATCGCTGAGTGAAAAAATGAAGTACAATGAAGTACATATACATGTATATTCATTGTGGTTGATCTAATTTTTTCATTCGGAGACGGCCATTTTTCGGGAATTTCAAATTAAAACCTTGGCGACAGTTCGCAAACTCCAAGTTTATCTTTCAATGCCCCTTATGAAGTCTCAGTCGCTACTTGCAAAATTATCATAAATTACTTCGCGCTAGCCTTGTAAACATGCAGCCGACATCACAGAATCCTTTCTCAAGACAGATTGCTGAGTGTATATGCGCAGGGCTTACTTACTGGGTTATCCCTTTCAAATGCACTTTCACTTTCACTTTCGCCTTCACCTTCGGAAAAAACATCAGGGAATTTTCGCGACAATCTCCCTATAAGTGGTATGTGTGTACAATTACCAATTCATGAACCATGATATTATCTACATAATTTTCGCAAAATTTATTGTCGCGAGCTCGAAAAAACTGTCGTCGCGAGGGCTCGAAACATGGTATGAACGGTCCAATGAACGGTCGCGCAATCATAACTCCTTGCGAGATCTTGCTAGGAACTTTGGACCAATCACGACAAACAACTTGAGGCCCAGGGGTAAGGGACGAAAGCTAGCTTGGCAGGGAGCTTGGCATGAAAACACAAAGGGCGCTGCGCCGCTTCTTCGTCAACGTGGACAAGCGGGTCTGAAGCTGGGGCATGTGGGTAAGTAAGATGAGCATCCAAACCTAAGTATTGAGGCGATGTATGTTGGAGGAGACGAGGGTGAGAACACGTGGTTGATTTGTACTGTTGCACGAAGAGGATGAGGAACTTCAGCATAGCCAGCATGATGACCAGTGATTGGGGAAGATTCAAAGGTCCACCTTCGGCACCGGAGTGGACCTTCAGTGCAAAACCGAAGTTGAGGACGAGAGATAGGTGTGCGTGCGCAGCATGAAAATAAAGCTAGGCCAAGGTTCCATACAGCGTAAAGAGTGAAAAGTATAAGGTTGCGAGGGTGTAAAGTTAAGTGTATGATGCCAGTGTAAAGTGTAGAGCGTGGACTGCAGTTTAGTGTGTGGAGCATGCAGTGTGCAGTGTACGGTATAAAGTGTAGAGTGTGAAGTGTAGAGTGGACAGCGTGTGGTGTCAAGTGTCGAGTGTAGAGTGTCAAGTGTAAAGTTCAGAGTGTGGAGCGTGAAGTTTAGAGTGTGGAGTGTCAATAAAGTGTAGAGTGTGGAGTGTCAAGTGTAAAGTGTAGAAAGGTGTAGTGATGTGTAGCAAAGTGTAAAGTGTCAAGTGTAAAGCCTAGAGTGCGCAGTGTCATGTATAGACCGTATTGTGTAGAGTGTAGAGTGTAGAGCTTGGAGTCTAAAGTGTGGAGTTGGGGCGTAAAGTGTAAGAGTAAAGTGTAGAGTGCGGAGTGGCAAGTGTAAAGTGTGAAGTGTAAAATGTAAAGCGTCACGTACAGAGTGTAGTGTGTGGAGTAATTACACTGTGTAAAGTGTAGAGTGTGGAGTATCAAGTGCGAAGTGTGGAGTGTAAAGTGTAGGGTGTGGAGGAGTGTGGAGTGCGCGGTGTCAAGTGTAATGCGTGAAGTGTAAATACTGTAAAGTGTAGAATCTGAAGTGTGAAGTGTAGAGTGCCCAGTGTCAAGTGTAAAGTGTGGAGTGTAATGTGTGGAGTGAAGAGTGCGGAGTGTAAAGTGTGAAAAGTGAAGCGTAGGGTGTAAAGTTTGAAAATGTAAAGTTTAGAGTGCGTGGGCTGTAAAGTGTGGAGTGCGGAGAGTCCAGTGTACAGCGCACAGTGTGAAGTAAAAGTGTGAGGTGTGGAGTGTAAAGTGTAGAGTGTAGAGTGTGCGGTGTGGGGTCTCAAGTGTAGAGTGTGAAGTGCACAGTGTAAAGTGTAAAGTGTGGAACGTAAAATGTAGTGTGTAGAGTGTCAAGTGTAAAGTTCAGAGTGTGGAGCGTGAAGTGTAGAGTGTGGAGTGTCAAGTGTGAAGTGTAAAGTGTAGAGTGTGGAGTGTCAAGTATAAAGTGCAAGGTGTGGAGTTTAAAGTGTAGAGTGCGCAGTGTCATGTGTAGAGTGTAATGTGTAGAATGTGAAGTTTAGTGTACTGTAGATGAAAGAGTTTGGAGTGTAGAGTGTGGAGTATGGGGGTGTAAAGAGTAAAGTGTAGAGTGCAGAGTGTCAAGGGTAAAGTGTGAAATGCAAAATGTAAAGTGTAAAGTATAGAGTATAGAGTGCGGAGTATAAAGTGTAACGTGTGGAGTGTCAAGTGTGGAGTGTAAAATGTAGAGTGTGGAGTGTAACGTGTAGAGTGCGGAGGGCGTGGTGTAAAGTTCAAAGCGTGAAGTGTAAAGTGTATAGTGTGGAGAAAAAGTGTCGAGTGCGGAGTGTCTAGTCAAGTGTAAAGTGTAGAGTGTGATGTGTAGACTGTTGAGTGTGGAGTTTAGAATGTAAAGTGTAGACTGTGGGGTGTCAAGTGGAAAGTGCAAAGTGCGGATTGTAGAGTGTAAAGCGCAGTGCTAACTCTATCGGGGTGCCAATTCAGTATGTGATAATGTGCAGCAGCTTTAGAGCGGCCTAGCTTTTGTGCATAGGGCCTCAGGCTTGAAAAAACACACAAACAATGAGAACTGGCTCTGCTATGCAAATTCACGCCGAATTGGCATCCAAGTTCATCCAAATTCGAAGACCTTCGGAAACTCCTCTTTACTAGACGACGGATGGCCCGAGAGCGTAGAGGAGCAGGGTCTTCTCTTGTTAGTATGGAGACACAATTTTACAAACAATATATGAAAGATGTGTTATAGGCAGTCGAGAAGAGAAGTAGCAAGACAAAATAGTGAGAAGTGCAAGACAATAGTTTGCATCGCAAACACTTTTACACACAGACGCTTTTACACACAAAAGTTTTTACACACAGAAGCTTTTACACACAGAAGCTTTTACACAGAGGCTATTACACACAAAGCTGTTACCCACAGAAGCTTTTACATACAGACGCTTTTACACACAGATGTTTTTACACACAGACGCTTTTACACGGACACTTTTACACACAGACATGTTTACACACAGACACTTTTACACACAGACCTTTTTACAGACAGGAGCTGCTTTTACACACAAACGCTTTGACACACAGAAGCTTTTACACATAGACGCTTTTACACACAGGCACTTTTACACACAAACACTTTTACACACAAACACTTTTACACACAAACACTTTTACACACAGACGCTTTTACACGCAGACGCTTGTGCACACAGAAGCTTTTACACACAAACACTTTTACGCAGAAACACTTTGACACACAGACGCTTTTACACACAGACGGCTTTACACACAAGCGCTTTTACACACAATCACTTGTACACACAGACGCTTTTACACAGAGGCCGGCCCAGGTAGTCACAGCGAAGTCATCGTTGTCGTGGCGACCTCAGCAATCCGACGGGGTGGTGGCGAAGTCCTATTTCCATGTGCCTCGAAACCAGCATGTATAAACATGTCATGCGGGCTATGTGCTTTGGGGCCCCCCAACCAAGGTGGTTTGCCATCTCCTGAAAAAAAAGTATAAACGGGCGGACCTGGCAGGCAGCGACCGTTTCTGGGCTGGGACACGCACAGTATTACAATATGATAGAAGTTGGTTCTTTATGGGTTTAGGGTCCTGACTCCTGACTGTGACTGGAATGGAAACTCTTATCTTAACACTCATACATCCATCTCTATATATTAAAAGTCATACAT